CAATTAATAGGAAATTTAATAATGCGGTTATTCCACTACATTGTTCGGGTCATTCATTAGTGCAATTTTTTCTCAGCATATAAAATTTTACGTAGGTGCGAGCAAGACAGATATATGTCGGCTGCAATAAGCAATCAATGAGCAAATTGTAAAAACCGATGGGCACTTTTGGTATTTTTTTTTTAGTATTGTAAAATGCCTCAATACGGTACTACCTGAACCGATGAGCAATGAGCAAAATTGAATCTAAAAAGTACAATTTTGCTCATTTATTAGAGCTACTGTGAAATGGGATCAATAATAAAAATTGATTTGATTTTTTTGGTTGAATTGCCAAACCTTTTGCGTCTAATAAGGTGCTATAAACAAATATGAACAATACAAAAATTATTTTAGTGGCCTAATTACTCCGTTGCCAACTAAAAATAACTCGCATATTTCTATATAAAGACATAACTGCGTCTATAAATTTATATAAAATTGCCTTCCTAAAAATTAATGCCGGGTATGATAAAATTAAAAACAATTACAGATGTACTTTAAACAGCCCAAAACAATTTAAAAACTTGGTAAAAGTGTCTGATTTTTTGGCAACACACACTATTAATTTTACAGCCTTCAACCTTAATGATTTAACCAGTCAAAGTTATTTGAATTATAAAGTTTAAGTTTAACGTCTAAATTTTAAGTGACCATGCCATCTTATCCAAACAAATCCCAAAAATAGCATATATATTTGTCCCTTTCTAAGCCTCCAATGAATGCTCTAATGAATGAGCCAAACAATGTAGTGGAATAACCGCATAACGAGTTCATAAAGGTATGACAATCCATATTTGGATTAATATTTCCATTGTTACGGTCAAAAAACTAATTCTTTTTTGCCAAAAATTGGAAGCCGGGTTTTTGGTAAAAATATGACTTTTTCCTCTTTGTGTTTTTGCTGTAACTTGGCCAAAAATGGTCCTACACCAAAAAGACATACTGTTTTGAACAGATAACAAAATAAAAAATAAGTCCATACCACTTTCCGTGTGATTTTGGAAAAATAAAATTTTTGCCAATTTTCAATGTTTTTATAAGGGAGCACAACATGACTTTTTACGAAAAGTGGCCAAAAAATAAAATTTCCTGGCTTAAATGCCAATTGATTTTAAATTTAATAACGAGTTCAGAAAGGTATGACAATCCATATTTGGATCAATATTTTTATTGTTTCGGTTAAAAAACTAATTATTTTTGCGTGGAAAATTCGGGATCTGGGTTTTTGAAACCCCATAAGTATGCTCAACTTTATTCCACAATGCAGCCCAAAGGTGTGCTGCGTAAAATGTGGCGATCAACAAGTAAAGATTAAACAAGGCATTTGCGTTAATAAGTATAAACCAAGCAAAAAAAAAAAAAACGAAAACAAAAACAACTATGAATTTTCCTTTCCTTATTTTTGGCAGAGCTTCCATTAACAATCCGGTTTTATTTTCGCGAAAAACCAGGGGAATTCATTCACTCGTTGCCCAAGAAATCGCCAATCTGCAATAACTCAAGGCATTTCCTTTCCTTTGGATACCCTGAAAACAGCCATAGCCATTTTCCGCTATATCTTATAGACTTTGTATTATATATATTATATGTGCAGGTGTTGTTGGTTTCTTGAGAATATTCTCTTCATTAATTTGCAGCCAGTAATTTGCATTTTGGTAAATTTTTGCAAGACACTCAATGGCAAAAACGATGGAAAACCAATCGCATCGGTTGCAATTTGTTCCGGTATTGGCAAAGAAAATTTGTTAGCGTGCTTTGGCCATTCGGCTTTCGGTTTTTCGCTGGCTTCTCTGCTTTCGGGGCTTGCTGTTTTTTATTGTTCCACCGCCTGGCCAGCGTAACCATGGAGTTTCTGGCAAATTGCATCACAAATACGGCTCCGGCGTTTACCAATCCACACTCGCTGGCACACTCACTTAATGACGACGACTATCACCATCACCCAGTCAGCCAACTGCCAACTGCAAACTGCCAGGCTGCCCAGTCATTGGAAACACTGCCTCGTTGTCGATCGGCTCGTGCTGATCCAGAGATCCCAAAATCCAGACAACCAGGGGTGTGTGCCCATTGGGGAATCACACAGAAAGAAAAGCGGTCTAATTATCGATTTAAGATGTCATTTTGGTCCACATACCATCGATTTGTTATATATTTCTATTTATAATACGGTCTACAATACATATTTCATTATTTTATATGTCATTTTAGACCAGAAACTAGATACTTTAAATCTATTTGATGGGTATTTCGAGTGAAAAAGGAAAAAGAACTGTAAAAGGAAATGGAAGGTATTCAAAAAGTATGCAACCAAAAATTTGGTCTTGTATTAGACACTGTTTTAAAGTAACATATTAATATGATATTAATTTTTAAGGAGTTTTCCAATACTTTACTGTGGTCAGTAAAATAAATATCATATGACAGCTGTGGAATTTTAGCATTCCATTTTTTGAATAATTTTTTATAATAATAATAATATCCATTTGACCTGTAAATATTAAACTTATTCTTTTCTGTGCAGGGAATCATCTTTTGGAGCCTCATCTACCCATTTCGCAAAGCCGAGGTCGTTTGTTTCATTTCATCTATTGGGCATTGCAACATGCTGATTGTCTATCTCCTAATGAGTCGCTTTCTTTGCGGCTGACTTCTGGCTTGGCCAAAAACTTTTCCAATTACCCAACGAACGCAATTGGCTGAGATCACCTGATCTCAGGTGTTGGACCTCCGCTGGAATCAAGTATTTCATGTTCAAGTCGCGTCTCTGGTTTCAAGTCTCAAGTCCCAAGTCCAATTACGCATTAAGTGTTTTAAAACGCAGACGCAATGCAAAGGAAGAAACGTGAAATAGTTTGTCAACCTTTCGGTGGTTAGCTTTCCAGTTGTTTGGTTGATTGCTCTTTTTTTGGGGACTTGCATCTGGAGGTTGGCAGGTGTTTTCCGAATTTTCCATGAGATTTTTTATTAGACGTCTTTTTTCTTTAATTGATATATTTAATCGCATTTCCTTCAATTGATAAATTGGTTATATCCATTTAAGCACATTTCATTCAATTGATATATAGATTATATATATTTGATCATTCTTCCTTTAATTGATATATTGATTATATATTTTTAATCATATTATCTTTAAGTGGTATTATGATTATATCCATTTAATCCTTGTTTTCTTTGATTATATTAATTATATCTATTTAATCACATTTTTTTCAATTGATATATTGATTATATCTTTTTAATCACATTTCACTAGTTATCAATATTATATCCATTTGATCACATTTCATTCAATTGATATATATTTACAAATATATATTCTAGTTCTATCAAGTTCTATATTCTATCGTATGGATAACTTATCCCACTGCAATCTGGGTTATCCCATTTCGCAAACAAACTTTATGCAATCGAAAGTGTTCCAAGAGGCGGATAAAGTTGATCTGTCAGGCTTTCCACTGGACATTGAACACATTGTTTTGCGGTACGAATGAATGGATTTTAGATTTTGGATGTTGGATTATTGCGACATTTTTATGCCAGGTGCCTGTCTGTCGTCGTGCCGCCACTACTACTATTATTATTATTGTGGTAATTGTTTTGGGCCATGCATATGGGGAGCGAGTTCTGCCAGTTATCCGATCAGGTCACTCCACTCTCGGCCAAACTCCACTCCACTTTGCTACAATCCAATCGAATCCAAACCAAACCGAGATCACCTCTCTTTGCTGGCGAAAATTGATCATAAAAAGCATTCGTTTGGTTTCATTTAGGCAGTTGCTTTTGCAGTTGTCAGGTTTTTGCGAGTGCACATAATATGCCTTCTGCTTGTTTGCTTTATAGCGCTTTTCCACACACTTCGGGAGTCGCAGAAAACTCCCATATAGCCACGAATCCGAGTCTCAATCCGAATCCGAATCGGAATCCGAGCTCCGAGCTCCCAGTTCCCAGCTCCCAACCTCTTGGATGCAAAAGTTGGCGGCGCTTGATCAGTTGCGGTTTTTACTTTCATCGGTTCGGTTGTCGTCGTGGTCTAGCCCAAAAAATTACAAAAAAAAATCCAAACAAAAATCACATACAAAACTTAAAAGACCTGTCCAGCTAAAAAAAAAACAACACACACATTTCGGTGGGCTTTTCTTTACATTGGCTTGGTTTTGCTTGGATTGGCTTGGCTTGCACACATATGTTTGTCCATCCAATTGCCACTTGGATTGTGTTATTTTTTTTGTTTGTTCGCTTGGGAAAACAATTGTATTGCACTAAAGAGTGGGTGTGTGGGGCAAAACCGACCCTTACCTTTCACTTTTACCATAGCAAATCGGCCATTCTAATCACTCTTGCTCTCTATAAGCTCAAGAACTCTCCTGAAATCTCTATGGAAATCTGTATTCAAGTCGAAAAAATTGCATAATATGGTGCAAGAGTAGCCAGTGGGCAGTGGCCGATGATCATCGGCACTCCATCTTGGCGAATTGATACGCGGAAGTTATATAAGCAATGATACCATACCAATAACCTCCCGACGCGTCGACGCTTTTCCAGCTTGGCCACCGACCACAACACGTTTAACAAGTTTTTCTCTTTCGGTTTTTGAGTTTTCAGGAAATTTTGCAATTTTCCCCTAGCCTAGCTGCTAGTTTTTTTTTTCGTTGTTTTCGCAGACAGCCTCCATAGAAAGAAATCAAAATTGAAATCGTAAAATCGATTGATAAACAAGTGAAACCAAGTTCCTCGCTCTTTCGAATCTTATCATGTCTTATCATGATGAAGCCTTCGTTTTCAGAAACTGAGATTGCGACAATGACAGCGGAGGAGCACAAGGAAAAACCGCGGGAAAACCAGCAGAATACCTAAGCCCAAAGACACCAGAGCTTTCAAGAACCCAGAGGTCCAAAAGCGAGTGCAACCAGAGTCTCAGAAGTAGAGAAACGGGGAAGGGCCAAAGGAAGCCAACTTTCCATTGGCAAATATGCCATACCCAAGGATTGCCTTAGTGGCTCTTCTACTGATCGTCTCCAGCCAGTCGATTGACTCCTCCAATGAGACACGTGGCCAGGAGGCAGAGGCCCTCACAGGACATCGGTTTGTGGGAAGCAACATTACAATCCTCCATGAAGTTCAGGAGTCCGAGGAGCACCTAACCGAGTCACCACTAGTTTTAAACACACACGAGACTCTGCCACTGAAGCCGCTGAAGAAGAAACCCTACCTGCCGCTTGAGAAGATCCTGCCGAGCATTGAGTACGTGAAGCCACCGCATCCGCTCAAGGACTATGAACTGCATCCGGTGACGTTCGACTTCAATTTGGGCGATCTGGAGGATTTGGAGCATGAGGTGATCAAGAAGGGGGATCTCAGCAGTCAGGAGCAGCATGTTCTGGCCTCCTCCTCCGCCGACGACACCAGCTACAGTCCCTCCAATCCCGATGAGAACGATACGGTGGATGTGGAGCTGTCCACGGAGCCAACAACGGCAACTTTACCGGGCACCACAACGACGACTGTAGCTCCTGGGATAACCAGTAGTACCACTTCCAGCACCCACATACTGAAGATCCTGCGAAGCAAACCCCAAACGGGGCCCAAACTGGGTCGCGATCTGCTCAAGCAGAGTGCCGATGACGATATGCAGCTAAAGACCCTGGGCAGTACCATCAATAGCATCAATCGGTATCTGGGCGCAAATGCCAATGGCACGGGCAACGGCAGCATGGCCGAGAGTCTCTATGGCCAGGCCAACTACTTCCAGTTGGTGGCCAATCTGTACGATCACTTCTACTGGCAGATCTCCGAGATTCGGACGAGTGTTCGCACAGGTTGCGGCCTCGAGATGCAGGCCTACCTCACGGCCCTGCATTCCAGTTACGAGTGGGCCCAAAAGGGTAAGATCCGATTCCGAAACCCTTCCTTAAGATCTATTCTAAAAGTCCAAGACGAAACGTTCTCAGTTTCAGAATTAGTGCTGTCACTTATTCGAGAAGAATCTCTCTTGAAATCAAGGCGATAGTGCTCACAAAAAAATATATATAAAACTATCGAAAATATCGAATTTAAATTAATCAAATAACGAGAATGTTTTGAAATTAATAATATTAAATATAATATTAATACTAATGAGTGTTCTCACTTACTCGAGAAGAATCGCTCTTGAAATCAAGACGAAAAAAGATCAAATAACTATCGAAAATATCGAATTTAAATTAATCAAATATCGAGCATTTTGTCTCATTAATAATATTAACATTTTCTGTGTATACTTGTTTTGTGAGATAAATATGGAACGAAAGTAGTCTCGTTTTAGAGAATTTGAGACTGAATCTTCGCTCACTATGGAGGTCAAATGAACGTTTAAAAAAATGGTTTATTTTCTGGGTTCTTCTAGCTTATGACTCATCTGGACGATATCGCGGTCAGCTGCTCTTCGGCAACGACAAGTGGCTGGGTCAGCTATCCTTTTGCTATGAGCTCAATCGCCAGAGTTCCAGTGAGGAGCGCAAGCACTTCGATCTGGAGTTCTATGTGGCCGATGTGGCGCTTCATTTGCCGCGACTGAATCGATCGGTGGGTTTTCTTTTTCCAAAGTAATCCAGCTAATGCTTTTCGTCCCAATCCAGATGCTATTGAGTCTAGGCGAATGCCTGCCGAAATCCTGCTCCGCCCACGATGTCAAGTCTATTTTGTCCCTGGATCCATATGCTCGAATGCTGACCGTTTTGGGGGCCCACAATAACTCGATGCAGCAACCTCCGCTTCAGGTTCTGCATGTCCGCACGGTGCCTGGATTATATAGTCACTGGCGACAGCTCAAGTTCCAGGTGTTCATGTGGGTTATAATATATAGCCTATAAGCTATAACTATACTCAACCTCTTATCCCCTTGCAGTAGCTTTATGCTCACACTATTTCTGGTGATCCTGGTGGCCTCCTATTACCAGCTGAAGATCGACGAACGTCGCCTGGTGGTGGCCCCGATTGCGGCCATTAGTGGCAAGTGCGATGGAACTGCGGCCAAGAATGGTGGCTTCTATGGCAAACCCTTCGAGCTCTTTCAAATGCGTCCCTTGGGCAGCACGAATGCGGCGACCGATGGGCCCGAAATGGATGTGAATGGGAATAGACAGCGATCGGGCGACTCAACCGATATGGCGGATGGGGTGCCCGGTGTGGTTGGTGACCCCAACACCTCCTCTTCGATGGCGGGTAAATCGGAAATGACCGATTACCAAGCTGTGGAAACGGGAAGCTGTGCCGGCGCCACTGGAACCTTTGAGGCAGAGCAGCCTATTGGTGAGTAGGATCTACATTTATTTCAGGGTTCGGAGATTAACACACATGTTAAAAACATGAAAAATCGTATTTTACAGCGTGAGCAAAATTCAAAAGTGCTAAAATGTCAAAAATAATAGTTATCACACACAGCTCACTTGTGTTTTTTGAACAATGTATTATTAACACGAATTTTTTTTACACACAGTGTTTTTAACACAAATAAAAATTACATTTCTTTTACTTTAGAAAACCTTGCAATATTCAGTTCCAAAACTCTTTGTGTTAAAAACACGCTGTGTAAAAAACACGTCGTGTAAATAACACAAATGAGATGTGTGTGTTATTTATGTTTCTAACATATGTAGGATACAATAACTTTTTTTGAACTTAACACTTTGACATTTAAAAAGTTTTTACATTGTGTGCTATTTTCCGAACCCTGATTTATTTCTAATCCCCCTTTAAATCCCATCCAGCTTTGCACCAACAAATACTCTTGTGCTTCGCCTTGCAAACCAATGCCAAGGCCATCCTAAATATTGACAAGACCAAGGAGGTAAGTTTAGAGGTAACGTATCCACAAAGATCAATTCATCTGCTACTGCTGGATTCCCTTAACAGACCCACACTTCCTGTCTCCACGGCTTGCGGGTCTTCTCTGTACTGTGGACCATGATGGTTCACACCTATCTGCAGATGTTTGCCATTGGCGAAAATAAGGTAAGAACTTGGAATTATGAACTTTATGATTAATAACAAATTTAAATCCTAGTTCGAAAGGGTCATCACAGAGCGTTCCTTTTGGTATCAGGTGATTGGCAATGCCACCTTCTCGGTGGACTCGTTCTTCTTCATCAGCGGCCTGCTGGTCACTCTGCTCTACCTCAAGCAGGATCGCAAGCATTCCAACGATACCTGTCTCTTTATTAAACGCAGCTGCTCGGAGTCCCTGATGATGCTGCTCTATCGCTATCTGCGACTCACTCCAGTTTATCTTTTTGTGGTCATCTTCAATGACTTTGCCGTAAGGTGAGTTGCGTTCTATTTTCTACACAGTGTGTGTTGCTGGCAGCGCGACGGCAGAGCCCCTTGCAATATCTTAATATTACTTATTTTTCAGACAAGGCCTGGAATCGTCGGTGTTTCAACCGGCCAAAATCGAGCATAACACATGCCGCGTCTATTGGTGGCGCAATATTTTGTACATAAACAACTACTTTCCACAGACGGAGATGTGCATGATGTGGAGTTGGTATATGGCCAATGAAATGCAGTTCTATATGATGGCTGCTCTGCTCTTGGCCTTGGCCAGAAAGTGGGTTAATGGTCATGTATCTCTTGAGTTCCCTATTAAAGTTAACTTTTTTTAGGTACTTTAAGGCCGTGGCTGTCACGTTAATCGTATTTCTACTCAGCTCGTGGAGCATCTCTGGTATTATCTCCCTGCAGCACCAGTACACCCACAAAGTGGCCCTGCCCTTCGAGTCCTTTGACTTTCTGTATGACAAACCCTGGCAGCGAGTCGGATCTTATATAGTGGGTGAGTATTATATTGAACTTAAAAATTATATCATAACATAACTTTGAAAAGAAAATAAAATTAGTAAGTTAAACCATGCAAATATAATTGTATACTGTGTGTGTGCAGCAGACAAACTTTGTAATCCAAGTTGCTTCTGTTGGCAATAATTGATTTAAAGCTACGAATGATACGAATGATCATATAAAGTGATCATATCAAGTCAAGATTTTTGCTTATAATTAATATTGAAAAAATATGGACAGTTTGCTATTTCTTGATATTTTTCCTACAAAACATCGATATTATCGAATCAATATTATAAAAATATCGAAAATATCGATAATTTGCTAGCTCTAATATATCGATAATATATTTTATAATCCTTTTGACTCACCCGTCTTGATCCCTTGTTTATTTTCCAGGAATGTGCGCCGGCTATGTTTTGTACAAGGTGAAGACCCCACCGCTGGTCTCCCGGCGACTGAATTTATCCCTCTGGGCGGGCAGCCTGTTTGTGCTCCTGATCGTGGTCTTTGGCGTTTGGGAGGGACAACTGAGCACCGTCAGCACCGCGTTCTATGTGGGCGTGGCCCACACCGCCTTCGGATGCGGACTGGTCTGGATCGTATTGTCCTGTTGCTGGGGACTGGCGCCCACCGTGAATGCCATCCTGTCGTATCGCGTCATGTGGCCCCTGTCGCGGCTCACATACTGCGCCTATCTGATCCACCCCATCATCATGTTCATCTGCTCCTCGCACATGAGCGGCACCGTCCACCTGAGCAATCCCCTCATCCTGACCCTCTTCCTGGGCAATGCCGTCGTGTCCTTCGGCTCGGCCTTCGTCATATCCGCCTTCTTCGAGGCGCCCGTCATTCGGATCCTCAAGATCTGCTTCAAAAAGTGATCGAATTGTTTGAATATCTAGCCGTTGGGTAGCCGATTTCGTTAATTGTTGGACGAGCTACCCATATTCAAATTTGAGTTTTTGTTTTTTTTTTTTTTTGTGCCCCGTGTCTGCAACGAAATAATGCACATAACGATGTCAGCTAATGTTTATAAATATCCCTAGGCCTAAATATGTGTTATATACTTGTATATATTAAGAGGGTTTCGTGAGTGCGAGTGGAGTGTTTGAAATAAAATATACCTAAACCAAAAATGGGATTTCAATTTGTATATTATTTTTGAAAAATGTTCTACAAATTTTTTTGGACAATTATTCCATTATTTAAACGTCATCAGGAGTCAACAGTCAGATATTATAAATATGTATTCGTATAACAAATATATCACCTTCAAATTACTCTTTTTTGGAATGATACTAATATGTATCATTTGGCTGATATGGCTCGTAATCCACACATATAGAAGACAATTGGCCACTTGGGAACGCCGACGTTACATCAGTAGATTAAAGACTATGAAGTTAGACGTACAAATGGTTCTGAATGAGGAGCAGAAAGTTATTGATTCCGTATCCGCAATGTTGAAGGCCGAAACGAACGAGGACGATCTCGAGGATGAAAAGTTTCATCATGAAATGCATAAACTTCGTAAGATTGTACGGACCACAAACAAAGAACTGCAAAAGCTGGAGAATGAGATATTTTGAATGTTCTTTGAAAAGCGCTATAATAAAGCTAATTTATTTGTTAACTTAATTACCGCAATTTGTTCGATTTATTCGATTTTCAAATTTATCGATAGGTTACACATTTGTAGTTTACAATGACCATCACTCAACGCTATAATAAAGCTAATTTATTTGTTAATTTAATTACCGCAATTTGTTCGATTTATTCGATTTTCAAATATATCGATTGGTTACACATTAACCATCACTAGTAACTTTTTCTAGCTGAAAACAGCCTCATTTGGCTTGAAAATAGCCAAGTTGCCAGCACAGACCGCTGATACACGTGCGCGTGTTTTGATTTGTTCGTAAACAAAAATGCCCTTAAATTGAATTTAAAGCTTAATTATTACGATTTACCCACAAGATGTCGCGCATTATAGTGAAGCAGCTGCCCAAGCATGTGAGTACACTGTTGTTTTTCACTAGCAATCGAGTAAAACAGCTACATTCCAGATCACCGAGGACAAACTGCGTCAGATTTTCGGTGCCCAGGGAACAATTACGGATCTGCAGCTGAAATACACGCCCGATGGCAAATTCCGGCAGTTCTGCTTCGTGGGCTACAGCTCCGAGGCGGAGGCCCAGTCGGCCATCCAACACTTCAACAACACCTGCATCCAGACCAGCCGGGTGCGCGTCGAATCCTGTGCCGCTTTGGGCAGCGAGGAGAAGCCCCAATCCTGGAGCAAGTACGCCAAGGACAGCAAGAAGAACCTGGAAAAGTTAAAAGCCAAGGAGGAGGAGGAGGCGGCTGCCAGGGAGGCCAAGGATGCCAAGAAAAAGAACAAGGAGAAGAAGCTGGACAAAGTGGAGCAGATTCTGGGCAGGCACAAGGATGATCCCGAGTTCCAGGAGTTTCTGCAGGCGCACGACAAGTCGCGCACCCTGTGGGGCAACGATTTGGGCGTGGCCAGCAACCAGGAAGAGGAGCAGCAGGATGGTGAAGATGAAGATGAGGAGGAGCCACCAGCTGGCAGGGATGACAGTGGCGTGGATGCCGATGCAGGGGAAGATGACCAAGAGGAGGAGGAGGAAGACGGCGACACCAGCAAGCTGGCCGAGAAGCCCATCAGCGATCTGGAGTACATGAAATCCCTGATGGCGGCACCCACATCCTCCTCCAAGGGAGCAACCAAAAGCAAAACCAAGTCGGACAAATCCAACCTGGAGCTGTTCACCATCAAGATTCACAATGTGCCGTACAACACGAAGCGCCAGGAGGTGCTCAAGTTCTTCAAGCCGCTGAAACCCTATTCCGTGCGTCTCCCCAGCAAAGTGCACGGCTTCTGCTACGTGGGCTTCAAGACGGAAAAGGACATGGCCAAGGGGATGCTGAAGAACAAGAGCTTCATCAAGGGCAAGCAGGTCTTCTTCTCCGACTTTACCGAGAAGAACAAGGTGACCAAGGCGAACAAGAGTGGGCAACCCGTAACGAACGCTGGGGAGGCGACAGGCAATGCCAAGTGGAAGCACCAGCAGGACAGTTTGTCCAAGGAGGACGACATCTCCGAGTCCGGCCGCATATTCTTTCGCAATCTGGCCTACACCACCACGGAAGAGGAGCTCCGCAAGCTGTTCGAGCAATTTGGTCCAGTGGTGGAGGTCAATCTTCCCGTCGACAAGCTGACGCGAAAGATCAAGGGCTTCGGCACGGTGACCTACATGATGCCGGAGCACGCCCTCAAGGCGTTCAACAGCCTGGACGGCACGGATTTCCATGGCCGCCTGTTGCACCTGCTGCCCGGCAAGGATATCGAAAAGAATCCGCAGGAGGAGCTGGACGAAAACGATGCCAGTCTGTCGTTCAAGGAGAAGAAGGCGCTGAAGCTGAAGAAGAGCGCCCAGAAGCCAATTGGCTGGAATACCCTGTTCCTGGGTGGCAATGCGGTTGCCGAAATACTGGCCAAGCAATTCAAGACCTCCAAGGAGCGCATTTTGGACACCAGCGACGGTGGCAGCGGTGCCGCCGTGCGTTTGGCTCTCGGCGAAACCCAAATAGTCATCGAGATGAAGCGTTTTCTCGAGGAGGAGGGCGTCCGGCTGAATGCCTTCGATGAGCCGGCCAAAAAGCGTTCCAACACTGTGATACTGGCCAAGAATCTGCCGGCGGCCACCGAAACCTCCGAGCTAACGCCCATTTTCAGTCGCTTTGGTCCGATTGGCAGGATTGTCCTTCCGCCCAGCGGCGTTACGGCGCTCATCGAGTTCTGTGATCCACTGGAGGCGAGGCAGGCCTTCAAGAAGCTGGCCTACAGCAAATTCAAGAATGCCCCGCTCTATTTGGAGTGGGCACCCGAGCAGGTCTTCACCAAGACGCTCAGCGGCGAGCCGGTGATTCCCAAAACGGAACTTAAGGAGGAGGAAAAGCCAGAGAAGCCAGAGGTTAAGAAGGTGGAGGAAAAGGAGGAGGAGGAGCAGAAGCCTCTTGCAGAAGATGCCGATGATGAACCGGAACCAAACACCACCCTCTTCCTGCGCAATCTGAACTTCAAGACGGTGCAGGAGACGGTGGAGCAGCACTTCCGCCACCTGGGCACCATTCACACCGTGGAGATAGCCAAACGCCGGGATCCCGAGAATCCGCGCAACTTCAATTCCCTGGGCTATGGCTTCATTCAGTTCAAAAAGAACTCGGTGGCCGAGCATGCGCTCAAGAACCTGCAGCTCACCCACATCGATGGCAATCCCGTGGAGCTCAAGCGCAGCGATCGGGTGCTCAAGTAAGTAGAGGTATCCATAAGGGAATATCCACTTGATTAACCCTATTATTATTATATTTTCCAGAACCCAAGACAACGAGGGAGCACAACGTCGACTGGCCTCGCAGAAGAAGCAAACTGGCACCAAGATCCTGGTGCGGAATATTCCCTTCCAGGCGCAATACCGCGAAGTTCGAGACATATTCAAGTGGGTGTAGTGTATATTCAAGTACCTGTGGGGGCAATTCTTGATACTATATATTTGAAATCCTTCCAGGGCCTTTGGCGAGCTGCGTTCTCTGAGGATTCCCAAGAAGGCCACCACCGGCGAGGAGGCGCATCGCGGCTTCGGCTTCGTTGACTACATGTCCAAGGCGGAGGCCAAGCGTGCCTTCGATGCTCTGAGCGCCAGTACCCATTTGTACGGCCGCCGTTTGGTCCTCGAGTGGAGCGCCAACGATGACAACCAGGACGTGGAGGAGCTGCGCAAGCGAACGGCGGCCAAATTCGGTGATAGCCAGGCGGCAGCGTCGGCGAAACGCAGCAGGAAATCCTTCTTCGATGTGGAGGGCAGTGTGCAGCCAAATCAAGATGATGACGACGAAGAGGAGGAACGATGATGATAATCCCCCGTAGTTAGTTAGCTTAAAGTTTGATTCAGATGTATAAAGTACAAGATGTAAACAAAAATATAAATTATAATTTTATAAAATCAAATGGAGAGAAAACCCTGCCGTTTCTAAATAGAATATATTTTATTTTACGCTTCTGTTTATATAAAAACCTAAATAATTAATATAAAACAAGACGAAAAAAAAAAACAGAATTTTTTAAGCAAACACATACATCGTACATCGTATATCAATCATTGATCAATCAGCCGGAAAAACTTGCTACCTCACTTTAGTAAATTATAGTACTAGTAGTAGTAATTAATTATATATAGGTTGCGTATATATGTCTCTAGATATATACGTGTAATATTGAAAATATTTGCAATTTTCTGCTTTCCCTTCTTTCTTTCTCTTTTTTTTTTTGCAATAGTTGCAGTAAGCTAATAAAGGTCGCAATCTAAAGGTAAAGCAGCATACAGTCTACAGATCTACGGAAATATCTGTAATACATGGGAATAATATTTAGTAAGCGGAGGAGCAGCTAATTAGTGTTAGACACTTGATCATCCCAGGTGTGTGTTGCTGATGTGTGTGTGTTGTGTTGTGTTGCGTTGTGCGTGTGTGTGTGAGCCCGCCATTGAGCAGATTTGTTCACATCCCCGAAAAGGGGCCTCCTCCGTCCGTATTCCTCGCCAGATCCATCCATATCTTCAGCTTTTAGTTGCAGTTTCGGTTTCTGGTATATACAATTGGCAGCGCAGGTGTATTTAAGTGTTTTTTTCAATTAGAACTTGAAAATTATCGATATTTTCGATAATATTAATTCGATAATATCGATGTTTTCAAATTAAATATCAAGAAATAGCAAACTTTCGATATTTTTCAAGCTCTATAAGCGTTTTCAAGGTGTTTTTTCAGGCGTTTCCCGGAAGGTTTTAAGGTGTTTAGCTGTTTTTTTTGTGTGTGTATACTTTGTGCAGGGGGCGTGTGGTGGCTGACAGGTGGGGGCGTGGTGTATGCGTAGGCTATCCATCGAATTTCGTTCGTATTACCGCTATTGCTATGTAAAAAAAATATATAATTTATGTGCATATATATATATATGTTTATATATATATATATTCCATATGTATATCTGTGCAGACGGCTGTTCCAAAGTCCTAATCCTTCTTGATGCGCGCCTGCAGGAAGCAGTAGAGGATCCCGGCCTGGGCCATCACATCGACGGTGCTCGCGGCCAGCGGATCCTTTTGCTTCACCTGCGTTTGTCCCGGCCTCAGCAGGGTGGGCCCGAAAACCATGGCCAGATTGTGCAGCGACATCTTGTTGTCCGTCTCCTTTTCGTGGACTCTATAGGGGGAATATAATTAATAATTATTCCTTAGATAACAAACGAATTACCCACCTAATCAGATGATCTAGAATCGAATTGATGGAGGCCTTGTTGACCTGCGGCAGCTCCTCGAAAACTTTGAGCAGCTCGTTGATTCGCGTGGATTCGTTGTTGTTGCTAAAGGCGCTGAATGTGTCGAAGAATCGTGGATATAGCTGATCCGTGAATAAAGCCTCGGGCAGCTCTCTTAGGAAGGTCTTCAAAATGCCCGTGACCGAATGGATGTCCACTTCGCGCAGCAGCTGCTCCGCCTCATAGGCATCTGAATATGAATATATAAATACATAAATATTATATACAATTTGGTTACCTAGAAAAACCATTTACTCACCCGACTCAAATGCCTTCTTGAGCTTGGCCAAATCGGAGGCGGAACCGCTGACGCGATAGCAGCCAACCTCCAGCATTCCCCGCCGCTCCACCTCACGAATGCAGGCACTGATGATGAACGGAATGTCGCGTTTCTCGCGTCTGAACATAAACGAAATAGTAATACACAGTAAGTAGGAAGAAGGATCGATGGGTGGAGCTCTCTACGCACTTTAATACTTGACTCATTTTGGCACCAAAGAGGGCTCCTGGCTTAGTGGTGGCGCGGCATAGCTCGCCGGGCACAAACCGGAAGCTGCAGCCGAGCTCCAGGGTCTCACTAAGCTTAATTGTTCGCGGCTGCGTGGTTTCTGTCAGCCAACTGAGGCTCAACTGTAAGAGATCATAGAATAATTAGTTATAATATTAAATATTGTAAAAAACTTGTGTTATTAACATGTTAAATGTCAAAGTGTTAAGCTAAAAAAAAGTTATTGACTTGTGTGTAAAAAAATGTATCCTACATATGTTAGAAACATAAATAACACACACATGTCAATTGTGTTATTTGCACGACGTGTTTTTTACTCAGCGTGTTTTTAACACAATGAGTTTTTGATATTAAAGTGTCAGAATTGTATGTTGAACTAAAAACGGTTTTCTAGAATATAAGAAATGTAATTTTCATTTGTGTTAATAACACATTGTGTAAAAAACACAAGTGAGTTGTTGTGTGTGTTAACAATTATTTTTCACATTCTAACACTTTTGTATTTGACACACATGTCAAAATTATTTTTAAATTTTTCATGTTTTTAACATGTGTGTTAATCTCCGAACTCTGATATTAAATATAGTTAGCTGGCTAACCTTGAGTATGTGCTTGGCTCTCAGGAGCGGCCGCTCCTTGGCCTCGTAGAGAAGAATGCGCACATTCTGGCTGCCCTCCAGTTCCAGCATAAAGCTCTCGTTCCACAACGGCGTCTGACTGCGACACACCATCTTGGTGGTGGCCTTGCGGAAATAGTGACCGTAAGAGTCCACCTCGATGCAGATGTACAGGTCGGCCGCCTGCTCCAAGCCGCCCAATCCCTGGACGGCCATGTGCAGATCTCCCACCAGCAGGCTCTCGTCGTTGGTGTTGCGCATCAGATACGAGCCCATTTCAGTCTTCATGCCCTTCTGCATGGCCACAATGAAGGCGGTGACCTCCAGCGAATTGATCGTATTGGCTCCGGGCAGGTTGCACTTTTGCTAAGGGGAAAATAATATAATTTAAGGCAAGTTCAATCCAGAACAAGAAAGGAAGGTAGCTTCGGCCAACCGAAGGTTATATACCCTTGCAGATCATTCCTATTAATTAAGAAATCGCAAAAAATATTCAATTTTCTATTATTTTTCATTGATTTTCCGATTTTATTTTTATTCGGAATTCAGAATTGAATAAGAAATGGTATTTTCAAAAGTAGGAGGTTATATGTTAAAAAACAACCAAGATATAATTTTTTTAAATTTTAGCCCCGATTATTTCTATGGGAGCTATAAGATGTAGTGGTCCGATCCGGCCGGTTCCAACTTATATACTGCCTGCAATAGAAAGAAGACTTTTGGGAAAGTTTCATCTCGATAGCTTTAAAACTGAGAGACTAGTTTGCGTAGAAACATACGGACAGACGGACGGACAGACGGACATGGTTATATTTACTTTATGGGGTCGGAAACATCTCCTTTACTGCGTTGCAAACTTCATAATACCCTCTGCAAGGGTATAAAAATGATTGCGAACCCACCTTGAGCGACGTGATCGAGTCGATCCACTGCGTCCGCTCGAAATCCGAGCTGAGGAAGAAGGTCATGGTCTTGTTATTCGCCTTATTGGCCAGCCGGAGCACCAAATTGGGCGTGGCCAGCACAAGCTGTGACTCCAGATCGGCCAGCTTGCGGCGATACTTGTCGCCGGAACGCACACCGCCGCCTCCACTGTTCGCCACCTCCATGGCCAATTGATCTCGAACGGAGCGCAAATTGCGCTTCACTTGCGATATGTTCGCTGGACTAGATTCCTTCAGTTCGGCCGCCGGATCCGCCTCCTCGATGATCGAAATCTCCTTCAGTGGTATGAACCATTTGAGCTCATAGTCGATGCGATCCCTGCCCAGTGCCTTGTACTTGGCGCATGCGATCACATCGTTGAAAAGGAAGAGATGCCGCAACTTGCGATGGCCATCGACCAGCTCCACAATGAACGAATTACGGACCATGCGTCGCAGATTTCGATTCGATTCGCTGGGCAGCCGCTGATTGACGACATTGAATTGATTCAGGAACATCTGGATGATCTTTTGCGCCTGCCGCAATGGCTGGTGATCCGGATGCGCCATCGGCGTTTCGCGCAGCAAATCATTGAAGACCAAGGCATTTATTTGCACTCGAGCCACTGGCTTGTGCAGCAAATCCTCCAGCGTCAGCGATTGCTCCGTCTGCAGATTGACCACTATGGTGGAGACGATCTTCTTGAACTGCGGATTGTTCGCACTGCACTTCTTCACCGTCTCGATGGCGTTCTTGTAGTTGTGCAAGAAGGCGCTATACAGATCGAACATATCGGCCAGTCGACGGAAGGGCTCACCGATCAGCACATCGCCGCCCTCGTGGGAAACGATCGTCTTCAGGTCGGACAGGAAGGCGGTGTGCAGATCGTGGAGCTCGTCGATCTTGAAGAAAATCGTGTTCTCCTCCTCCTCCTTGATCACAGGCTGCGATGTGTTCAGGGTAGCGTGGATCGCCTTCTTGTACTGCATTTGGTAATGATATCAATTAGCCACTTAATAAATTTGAACACCTTTTCTACGTCGCGCTTCAACCTCTTCAGGTCGTACGACATAATTCTGTTGTGTTTTGTGTCTAGAATTTACCCAATTTGACAAGAATACCAATTCGATAAAGATTTTCAAAGATTATTAACCGAAAATCGCGCCTAAAATTTCAGGCATATCGTTTTTACCATGCTATAACGATTTCTCTATTTTATAGAGCGAGATAGCGCTTAAATTTACATGAGTGGGAGGGAAAGACATGTTCGAAATTCGAACTGTCGTTTTGTTTTTACATTTCGAGCATATCAAGTCAAAACTGATACCACATAACGTAAAATCGATAATAATTTCATATTAAAATGTACTTATAATAACATTTCACCCCCTTATAATAACATCACTCACCTGCATCATTTTATTGAGGCACTCCACGTAGATCGTCTCGCTCTGAATGATTGAGCTGAGTATAGATCGTATTTTGGCACCGCGGGCATTTCCAGAAACCTAATAAACGGAAAAACGAACCACTTGGATGAGATGCGAGGTTGTGAGAGTGACATATATGTATGTACATTGTACAAGTAAAGTATATGGTGGATGCGGAGGTGTCTACAACCCTTTTTAAAACCATTTCCAAAGCTAAATACAAATTATTCTATAATACATTGTCTTTTTGCAAGGCTATGGTGGAAACATTGAAACCAAACCAAAATCTGGCATGAAATGGATGAGACAGAGATGGGAATACGCTGGTCACAGCACAATGGATGGGAGCAAACAGGGCAAAAAAAAACCATATATGGGTAAATCGATCTTGGGATCGTGTGCATACATATATACAATTGAACAAAACAATAAGATGGGCAAAAGACAGAACTCAAATAGGACCAAAACACACACATTAAACGTTATAAATGGAAAACAGGCGCATTCATAAGCAATAGCTATACATATTATGTACACAGATATATATGTATAAATATATACATCGTGGTTGCTACAACGATGGAATAATCATTCCACCTTATCAAGCATCCACTGTACGAAAGTTGAATGCTACATTTATAAGAATCCTGATCCGGGTACTCACAAGTATCGCTGAAACTAAGTTCTGTTGGGAGAAGAGAGCAGAAACGAAAAATCTTGGTTAGTAAATATTAGTATTAGTAAATAAAGATTTTAAATAGATTGTGTGTAGAATGGTTATGAATTTCGATGGGGCAGGAATTAATTCAAACTATAAATATTGCTTTTTAATTTCAAATCAAAATTAAAGTTCTTAAAATCTTTCTTAGATTACGAAATTATGATTCAGCTAGCGGACTTTTCGTGACCACCAGAGATCATGATTAATGGAATAAATTAATAATGAACTTATGCATGACGATTTGTTATAAATAGAAAATGAATCGCAAATAATCTTTAAGTAATGTCAAAAGAGCGAAGAATATTTAAATGTTTCAAGATAATTAAGCTTTTCCTCTCTCTAAAATATTCGGTTTCAGGGTTTTCGAGATTGTACTCCCCCTACAAGTAAGCACATGCATATTGAAATCAATTGGCGATTACGAAAAACATGTTAAGTGCTGAAGCGTGCGCTTAGTCATCTTAGTCATCATCGGGAGATGGAATTGCATCAACTATAAGTTAGCTTTTAGCCTGACTGGGGGATGCGGATTCAGATTCAGACGATGCTTGGAAAGTTAAGTTAAGTTAAACGCAACGAATGACAACGTTAAGTTGGCTGGGAATGGAAAATGCGGCTGGGGCGTTCATCCGTGAACTCTGAACGAACCTTGCGAAGTGCTCCCGGCGTAGTTTGTGACGTGGTCTGCTCGTCGTGGGAAATGGTGCGCAATATGGGCGGACCCTCGTACTCCCCGTCGCTGTCCAGCGAACTGGACCGCGTCTCATTGCTTTGCCTGAAAATTAGATAAATATATTAATATATATATATATATATTATAGGTATATAAACCCACTGTAGGAAGTAGTCGATGTTGACGTAGTTGGAGGTCCTGCCTGGAGATTCGGGATCCGCCGGATTGGCCAGCGGCAGAGTGCTGCTGCCGGGCGTTGACAAATCATCGCGACTGGAGGAGGAACCGGTGCGACCGGGCTTGATGAACACGTACTCCCCGTCGCCGTTGTCCAGCGGCACGCTATCGTAGTACGGCTCGTTGTCCGCCGCCGATTGCTGGGATGCTGCCGCCGTCGCCGCCGCCTTGGCGCTTTCCGAACTCAGCGAGGAGACACTCTCGTAGCTCTTGATCTGCAGGGGATTATAATATAGATGTTAATAAGGAACAGAATAGCTGATAGTTTATCTCTACATACCACCTCTGATATGCCTTGCGATGCCAGCGACTCCTTGGAGCCCACACTCCGCTGATTCGTTCCCGTTCCACCCTCTGCATCGCTGGCCTGCAGGCAGTTGCGCGACTTCTTCTCCAGACTGCTCGTCGAACTGCTGTCCGCTGCCGCCAGTTTGGCGGTCTTGTTTAGGCTACCCGTGGGCGAGGCCCCGACGCCCGTTCGTCCCGGTGTCAATGATCGCCCCGGTGTGGAGGCAGTGCGTCCCAGACTGCCGCCGCCCGAGGGCGAGGAGTCATTCCGCTTGGCCTGCTCCAGACTGTCCGTCTTGCCCACCATCTTGCGGCCCAGCTCCTCCATTAGCTCAGGATTATTGACATTCACAAATTTGCCCAGCTCCGGTGTTGTTTTGCGATTCGCCGCATATTTGGAATCCAGATTCTCGGACGACTTCTGGCGCAGAATATCCGAGGGCTTGATGTTGCGCTCCAGCGAATTGCCCGGACTGTCGGAGGAGAGGCTGCCGCCGGAGCTGCTGGGCAGCGGCATCGAGCTGCCCACAAAGGGAGTCTCTCTTTTTGGCGACGACGACAGCTGCTGCTGCTGCTGGCTGGGAATGGTGGGCGGCTCCACGCGGCGAATGTTCTTTGGCGGAGGTCTGAAAAAAGAGGGTGTTTATTAGTAAATTATAGGTTATATAATTAAATGGTTTATTCACCTGGGTGGCATTTTCTTTTTGGCCTCCACGTGGGCTGCGTACGAGGTGAGCGACGGCGACAGCGGAGGAGCACTGGCCTCCGCATAGCGAGCGAATGTTGAGGGCGGCGTGGGCTGCTGCGACTGCTGTGGGTCACTGGCTCCTCCATCGTCGCCCTCTTTCTCTTTGGCCTCCTTCACCTGGATGACGGTGACGTATTGCGAGGTGGATTTGCGCAGCGGTTGTTTCTCCTTATCTCCGCCATCGGTTGATCCTCCTGCTCCTCCAGCTCCTCCTCCTCCTGTTGAAGATGCCCCATTATCCGGCTGGGCTTTTATCGAGGCCGCCAACTCTGTGATGCACTGCTGCAGAGCTCCGTTGGTGTCCTTCTCGTTGCCACTGTCCTTGTCGCGCTCCTCTCGCTCGAAATTCAGCTCCGCTATCCGTTTGCCCGTCGGCGGGGCAGAGTGAAGCGGACCGCTGGTGGATCCCGCCCCCGCTCCCGCTGCCGTACCGCCGCCACTCCCACTGCCAGCGGCATTCGTGTGTGTTGTGTACTTGTTGTCCGTGTTGAGCGACAGGCGATCCTTGTCCTTGCCGCCGGACGACGTCGAGGACTCGCGCAGATTTAAACTGGATTTCTGCAAGTGAAATAAAATAAAATGAGTTAGTTACCAAGTTTCGAGCAAATCAATTCGGTGATCTTTGAACCAATCAGTAGCATTGTTAATGTAACTCAATTAAGGCAAGTGAGTCGCACTGAATTTACATTATAGAATACTAAGAACTAAAGGCATACGATCTTTATAAACATAATAATGACTTATCAATGTAATAAGTAGATATGTTAAACTAAAGCATTATTTTATCAAATTTAATTTTTCGGTTGCATATAATTTAAATATTTATGATATAAGCTTATGATACAGCTAAACTTTAACTTGAACTATACTTTAAGAATATTATACACAACATAAATTAATTTAAATAAAGAAAAGTTGTCCCTGATTTTTTAAAATTTTTAGGGTCTATAAGAAGTTTATAAGAACTCATATATTCCAAATATTGTAGGCTACTATCTATTATAGTATTCATTTAAATATTTTATCTTCCAGAGTTAAAAGTTCAATCGTTTGCCCCAGAGAGAGTTTAATTATGCAAAACGCTACCGAATAAGTAAGCTAAATTAACATATGCGAAATATGCAAACAAGTTGAGAGGAGAAATCGGTAAGAATTCTTTGATTGCAGAACTAAATCGGGAGTAGGTAGAGATAGAGATTCTATCCAATTTCCCCGGGCCAAGTGTTAATTAAGCGGGCTCTAATCCCAAGGCAAATAGCATATCATATCATATCATAGCCACAAAAGGGCGCCAACGCCTCTGCAAACTATTTTTATGTACCATTTTGTTTTTGTTTTTTCCTTTACTTTTTTTTTGTCCAATCGAGATTCCAAGCACGTAGCGCATTTCATTTCGTTCAATTTCATTCCGATTCGAGCCGTTTCTCCACTTTAAATGGCTAAAAACCGACAAACTTGGCTCAAACTCAAAACGCGTGCGTGCGTTGGATCTTTCTTTTTTACTTTTCGTGTCTCATGTCTTGCCACACAATTTTTGGGCTTTGAAAAAAGTGAAAACTACATGGGTAAGCAGAAACAAACAAATAAATGAAAGAAAAAAACTAAATAAATAAAGAGAGCAGCGGCCAGACAACGCGCTTATTACCCCAAAAAAAAAAAAATAATAAGACGAAAAAAAGTGAAAAATTGCCAACCGAAAATTGTCTGGGTAGCGGGATATCCAAGTATCCAAGTGGGTGGTGGCCAAAATGGATGGATAGTCTACTGTGGATGTGGATGTGACCAAGCGGAGCGATGAAGAAAGCGTGCCCAAGTGCGACTTGAAGACCGAAAGGTCGATGGCTACTTGCCCAGAGCTTTCTGCACCGAGAGGACAAGTATAATACTATATTAATATTACAGTTGGAGGTATTATAATCGTAAACCTACAACTAAGCTAAGGTTACCAAGTTAATCCTTAGAAATGCACAAAAAGTCATCAAAAATTGTAGAAGCAATGTAAAAAACGTAACCATTAATTTATATTGAAAAGATAAATTAACAAACTAAATGTATTTCCAATAAAAAAGTCATGGCAACATAATAATTAAGTTTTTTTCCCCCAAAAAAAAGTAGTTTTTTGACCGAAACAATGGAAATATAAATCCAAATATGGATTGTCATACCTTTCTGAACTCGTTATTAAATTTCCTATCGATTGGCATTTAAAACTGGCCATTTTATTTTTTGGCCATTTTTCGCAAAAAATCATGGGGTACCCCCTTAAAAAATCATTGAAAATTGGCGAAAATTTTATTTTTCCAAAACCACACGGAAAGTGTTATGGATTTATTTATTAATTTGTTATCTGTTCAAAACAGTGTGTCTTTTTGGTGTAGGACCATTTTTGGCCAAGCTACAGCAAAAAAACTAAAAGGAAAAATTCATATTTTTACCAAAAACCCAGATAAAATTAAAAAAAAAATGTTTTTTTCATAATAATATTTTTATTTATTATTTTTAAATTTTTCTCTCTGTGAGCCTCCGTTCTCCCCCTTTCCTCGCATTTCTTTCCTTTTCTCCTCTCTGCATTGATACAATTACTTAGCATATTGTTCAATTAGCAGACACTTGGGGTCATAGGCAGCTTATCAGAGCCGCATTTTCTCATGAATGTGCGGGTGAGCAATGACAGGTTAACCCCTCACAGACACTTGTCCTCCAAATAGGACAGACGACATGCCTCAACGTCACTGGCTCAAAAAAGAAAATAAGATATCACTAGAAGCCATAAACCAATTTATTAAACACTCAAGTATATCTTTATAAAAGTTTATTAATATTTGTCCATTTATTTAAACTAGATTTTTTTATATAAAATAAATTAAAAATAAATAAATAAAATTAACCCTTGTATCTTTTTTATTACTAATCCCTATTTTAGATATGATATATTTATAGCAGAAAGATGAGAAAAACCTGCATGCAAATGAGTGTTAATTAAAGCAGCACTCGTTTTTATGGCACAATAGACATTTCCAAAAAAAATATGATTCAATACTTGGTATTTCGGAGACAATTCAAAGTGAGGCAATTAAGATCTGTAGATGTTTTTAGATGATTCGGTTTTTCTCTGGAACTGTTCAGACGCTTATATTGATTTCTGAATTCTGGGAGTCCCTTTAAATTACTAAAGTGATGATAAAGACTTTATTTTATACCATTTAAATACCATTTCCAAATTCAGAACAGCTGTTACCCCCATTTCCTTTTTTTCTATTTTGTTAGTCAACTGCAAAATTGTAAAATCGCTCTTCGGGCTGTTTTAATCGCAATCTCCTGGCCAAAAGTCGCCCGCATGTAACTACAAGTGCCCCTTTCTTTTGTTTTCCCCCAGCTCCCCTTTGTCCACAGGCCTTATTGATATGGATTGCAGCTTATCAGCGGACACATTGTGCGTCGCTCACGCCTTTTTCAACCCCTCGACGCTCTTTTCTCTGACTTCTTACAGCAAAGTTCAAAGAAATAGCACTTGGAATGTTTATTAATTTATTATAAGATCGAAAATTACAAAAATCTCGGTAAATGCGTTGAATTAAAAATAAAGGCGTTATCCGTATACTAATTAAAATTGGTTTATATTTTGTATTGCCTAATTTTATGTAAAGAAATAATATTTTTAATCCTTCTATTTATTAGGAAACCTAGAAAACTCCTAGTTTTATATGAGCTCAAATCCCATAATTTTAAACTTTAGTTAAAAGACTGTTAAATAATGTTAAATAATTATTGTGTTAACCTTAACTGTGCTGTATGTTTGTATTTTTTCCAAGTGCTCTGCCTTAACTTTTTTTTTTTTAGCCGCTATTGCTTAATTTCTTGGCCACACAAATATATATTTATATACTGTATATAAGTTCATAGATATAGGGGGACCCAAGATATAGTGTCTACGTGTGTGCGCTTTGTTATATGGCATTTTGCGATAAGTTTTTATTGATTTCGACTTGTGATAATACAGCAACAATTGTTGCAGCTTTCGGATGTTTGTTCTTTTTTTTTCGTTTTGAATTTCTTTACTTTGTATATTTTGGAATTAAGTTGCTAAGTTTTTAGCCGAGATTACGCACCCCTCTGGACCATAATTTGAATTTCTCCTTAAAAGAAGCCATGCTCCGAAATCAGCGCCACTTTGTTGGGTTATTTTCCTTATTCGCCCCCTTTGTTTTGGTTTAAAAATAATAATACGACCGCAAATCCGAGGGAGTGTAGTACCCTATTGTAATCCCGGGGCTGGAAAAAAAGGGGGCGATCCGACGACTTAGTGACGATGACTAGGCGACGACGACCACGAAACTTGAGTCAACCGAAAAAAAACACGTTAACATAAACACACACACACGCGAAAAACGGAAGACGGAGCTCTACGAATGCAAAAAAAAAAAATTATAAAAATTTTTTACGTAATTTTTTGTTATTGTTTGCCCTCCGTGTTTTTTGTTTTTTTGCAGGTGTTTAATTGGGCTTTGTTATTCCACTCAGTTGTAAACACAACAACAACAACCACTCACAAGCGGCGGGAAATATACGGAATTTTTACCATACAGAATTTAGATCTCTATGGATATTTTTTATATTTCAACGCGTTTCCGTATCCGTCCGTTTGTCCCGTCACTGTTATTCACCCAAAACTATACTGGCGACACAATATATGACAATATATGCAGCGACGCTAGCAGCAGCGCGAAAAACCTAAAGAAAATAATACTCACACACACTCCCGACAAACCCGCGTTCAGTAGAAAATAAAAAAAAAAAAATGGAAAAAAAACCGGTGGTGTGGGTAGATAAGGGGCCGCTATTCGAGATATCGGAACGAGTGCTTATAGAAGTGGTAGAGCCCATGGACATACGCACACACCTACAGTCCAACTTCTGTAACCCAAACTTCGTAACTCCCAGCTCAAAAATCATAAAAACATATATCAAGATCAGTTTGATATTATAATGTTATTATTATATTATTTAGATAATCCTACCATTTAATTTCATCATCTTTTAACATTCTAAAGATCATAAAAAGTTTCTTTCCCTATCAAAGGTGGTTTTAATAAATCCCCAAACAAATATGAACAGTTTATAGTTCGTGTTATGAAAGTTTTACTGTACTTATACAGGGTCAGGGAAAAACAGCTGTTCCATATAACTCGGTATTGTCAGGCCTTAAAAGTAAAGCTGCTACTGAACTTTCCTAGCATTTCCCTTAAACATTCTTATTATTAAGAGCATTTTTTTATTTTTAATATCTTTAAATTCTACACACATTTTTTGAACTAGTTCTCTTTCGATAATTTTGAATGCTCCGCTCTATAAATGTGTACATTAGCTTTGCTGCCCTCCCCGACTCTCCTCCTCTTTCCCCACTCGATTTTGATAAGCAGGCAATGACATTTGCGAAAGAAATTGAAACCGAAGAAAGAACCCACACTCCATAAAACTGAGCGCCTGGTAGTAATACCCCAGCCCTTGTCGATCGGAAAAGAGAAGCTATATAGGCCCCAGAGTATTAGTCACGAGGAAGGGGAAGATGAAGATTTTACAGTGAATTCAGTTGGGAACACGACAATCATTAAAAATATAATGAATGGATTCGAAATATTTATGTACATAAAGCTTATCGGAATTCGGTTTTCGTATGAAAGTCGATTATTTGAAAATCCCCAATGGGTTTTAAAAACTGAAAGACAATTGGAAAACTTATAAATACACAGGAAAATAATTCGATATGAAGGTCAATACTACCTTATTTGATATCAATAAAAGATCCAAACATATCATATAAAATACCAAAGTTAGTATTTTTTGAACCAATAATGTAAAATAAGATAAACATAATCTGTATTCATATCAAAATGATATGATGCATATATCTTTTAAGATAATTTAATGTATGTTAAATTAAATACATAAGTAAGTAACTTTAGGTAAATATTATCATTCCTAATCAATTAAAATATTATTGTGCAATTAATTCCATTAGTACTTTCGAAATTATTTTTTTATTTTCAAGATATAACTTATATACTCACAAACTCTTTGTCCACATTGGTGGTGCCTCCGCCTGGCGGTGCTCCATTGGTGGTGCCACCGTTGTTGGTGCCACCACTTCCGCTGGCCGCCTCGAAGAGGGCCGTGGGATCCCCGCCAGAGGCGCGATACTTCTCCACATCGGACAGCAGGCGCTCCAGGTACTCCACATAGAGGGTCTCCTGTTCGAGCTCCTTGGTCAGCTCAAGGATGCGCAGCTTGTGCCGCTCGAGACTCGCCCGCACGTCCTGTTCCCAGGCATCGGATAGCGAGCTCTGCGGGAAGCGCTGCATCCACAAGCGCTGGAAGTCGTCGAAGACGCTCATGGTGACCAGGTGGTGCTCCTCCTTCTCCTTCTTTTCCTCCTCCTCCTTCGATTCTTCTGCTTTTGCCTGCACTTATTCCTCACTCCAGAGATGCGGTTTCCGATGATGCTATATATTAATGATGATAATTCCTCGAGATGATGACGAAGAGAGGGCGAGGTTGCCTTTTATGTAACAACGAGCACCAGTTGTGCGTTGTCGCCTTCACCGCCTGCAAGAGTGTGTGTGAGTTTCAGTATCTGTGTGTCTTTTTGTCTTATTTTTTCTTGTTAATTTTTCTGTGTGCGTCACAGTTGAAGACTTGAAATCTTGAATATCCTTGCGTGTGGGCAGCCAAGACAGCCGCACAGCCACAGCCAAAAACAACAACAACGAGAGCAAGAGCACCTCGATGAGAAGTGTTCTTTGAGGGCCCTTTGTTTTACTAGGGGGAACAGAATTGGGATTGTGGTGCACTGAACTACTAGTAACTTGGGTAGCAAATCCTTTTAAAAGTTTAAAACTTTGAGTTTATGAGAAATTCTAGGGATACAACAAGGTATCTGAGAGATAATTAAATAATCTTTAAAAAAAACAGAATACCTGTTAAAATATTAAACTTCCTAATACTTAAAATCCTATCTAAACGGTAGTTTTTATATATTTTAAATCCTTTTTAATTTGTTATTAAAATAAAAATATATATAAAATGAGAATTTAATTAAAGAACTTCTTCTAAACTTCTAAAGAACATTTAGTTTTTTTCTTTATTTTTATGAAACATCTTTGCTCAAGATATTGTAAAAACTTAAGCTTATCACTAAGTTATGAATCCTGATAGCAAAAGGGATATATATAGTAATATCAGTTTAAATATTTACATAAATAATCTTGTAAAGTTTATCTTTATTGGCTTTTTGCGATTGCAATATGTATGTTTTAACCCTAGACTGAAATTTTACAGCTTTTATTGGGAAAATTTATAATTTTTACTATTTTAGAGAAAGATTTTTGAATTCTTGAAAATAAAATAATCCAATTTGATTTACAATTTCAAAGAAGCGGTTAAATAATTTGCCCAATTGGATTTCGAGTTCGAATCGAGCGGTTAAATAACCGGTTGCACTTGCACTTGTGTTTGTTTTTGTGGTTTTTTGTTGTTGTTTTTCCAGTTGCAGATGCTCTTTTTGTTGTTGTTGTGCTTTTGCCCTTTCAAAAGGCCTTAGTATGCGTGCGTTTTTTTCGCTGCCGTGCAACATTGTTGTTTTCTTTAATTTTTTTCGCCTTTTTGCCAAGGCCGAAACTGTTTTTTTCTGGTCTTTTGTTTTTGCAATGTTTTTTGTTTTTGTTGTGGAGGCGCAGACGCAATGAATTTTCTTAGAGATTTTCTCGTTTTTCGGTTTTTATCAAAACGACAACAAAAGCGTCGCACACACCCACACACGCACACACAAAGAGCAGCGCACACCGACACGGAAAAAGAGCGAGATTTCTATTCCTTTAACAATTGTTGTTGTTGTTAGTTTTAGGTTGTTGTTTTTCTCCTCTTCTTCTTCTCTTTTTTCGAGAGACAAAATCAGTGGGCGTTGCAGCCTCAAAAAAAAAGAAGTAAATAAAAAAGACACTGCACTCGAAAAAAAACGTTGTGCTTTTACAACGTACACACATTTGCACAGGTATCCTTGTATTATCTTTTACCGTTTGCCATTCCAATTAGTTTTCGCTTAGAAAAAATCCACATATATATATTTCACTCTTGGGCAAACACACAAACACATTTGCATATGTGCAGCACTAACGCGCTGCATTGGTGTGGGTAAAAACTCGGCTTTGGTTTTTCGGCTGCGTTTTCAATTCGCATTTCCCCGTCGCTTTCCCAGCCGCCACTCACGTTTCATTTTCCGCCACGATTTTCATTCACTATTTTCACGATACACTTTCACATTGATTGGATATTGAACATATATACACTACACATAAATATCCCAGCCGATTTTATATTACAAAAAAAACGATTTCATTTCGTTGGCGATTGCGATGGCAGCAAGTATCGATACTAAATCGGTGCAGGAGCGACGGGCGATATTAGAATCGATAACGCAGCAATGTGATATATCGATAGTGTATTTGAATTATTTTCCAAGATTAGTTTTAAACTTTCTTTTAAATATTATTATATTGATTATTATTATATTGATTAATCAATGCTAATAAGAGCGGTATATTTAGTCGATATATAATATCGGAATTTTCTGGCGTTGCCAGAATTCGTAAGCCTTTATCCGTTATTTAATTCAAATGCCTAATTTAAAAAGTAATACTAAAAATCCAAGAGAATTCCCCCAAGATACACAATATCTATATTTATTCGCCAAGTACAAGGTCAAAGTCCAGCAGACTTGTTTCCTTATCGAGCCCTGTTATTGCTCATTGATATTAATTAGTTTTTCCAGCACGGCACCCTATTTTTAGCCGCGAAAAACATTCCAGATTGACCTTAAATCGGCTTATCGCCACCTGCCAGATATAAATTAATATAATATGATTCCGTTTCTTTGGTTTTTGCCGGCCTCTTAGTCAGCCCGAAACTTTCTATTTCTGACGTAGCCGCGGATTTGGATACGGATTTTGCTTTTGATTTCGGTGGTCTCTTGTCTTATCGCCCATTGAAAACCCAGATAACCGGATGGATATATAAGGCGCTCGTTGCCGTCCGATGGCCATTTAATTAATTCCGGCCTCGGCGATTTTGCTGTACTTTTTTTTACCCGTTCCAATTTAATTTAAGTTCGTAGTCTTAAGGATACTCACACACAAAATGCTGTAAGTACGGGGTTGGTAGAGTCAGTGAAGGGATAATATAAATTTAAAGAACTTTTCCAAGAACTAAAATCTTTTTTTGTTCATAAAAAAATAAATTATAGTTCTTGGTCTTCAAAAAGATTTAGGAAAAGCTTTTCCTAGAAAATGTATATATTTTTTGATAAAAAAAAAATGTCTTAAGGATACTCACACACATAGTGTTGTAAGTACAGGGTTAGTAAAGTCAGTAAAAGGGTGATTTTTAAATCTTTCCAAAAATTAAAATCGTTTTTTTTTATAAAAAATAAAATTCTTAATATAAAGTTCTTAAAATAAATCCTTAAAATAAATTCTTGAAATAAATTCTTGAAATAAATTCTTCATATAAATTCTTAAAATAAATTCTTAAAATAAATTTTTAAAATAAATTCTTAAAATAAATTCTTAAAATAAATTCTTAACATAAATTCCTAAAATAAATTCAGGGAAAGCGTTTCTAAGAAAATGTATATATTTTTGATAAAAATAAATGTCCGGGAATAAAAATATCCATAAATTTTTCGAAAAACTGAAATAGTTATTAGGTATTCAAAATTAAATTTCATTCTTTTGATGAGAGAAAACTTTCTTAGAAAAGGCAGTGGATAGAAAATTTATATATTTTTGATAAAAAAAATGTCCAGGAATAAAAAACCCCCATAAAATGTAGTAAACTAAGCTTTAGATCGCAGCACCCCTTGGTATTCCCACAGATATTCAAAAAATAAAACCGATATACCATGTTGTATGGGGAGCTGTTCGACGCCTTTGGTGACCTATTAGTCGGGTACGGTGACCTATTAGATGGCAAGTGTCCCCCCATCCCCGTTTAGATAGCACTTACCAGCCCGAAAAACGATCCCTTTCCGAGCTAACCATGAGTAATCCCTTCCTCGTTTTTACAGATGCTGCAAGAAGTATGCCGTCTGCTGGATCATCCTGGTGGTGGCCGCCGTGGGCGTCACTTTGGGCCTGGTCTTCGGGCTGCGGGACAAGGCGGAGGAGCCGCGTCGCATGGGCGCCGTTGCCTCGAACGGCGTGGGATGCGCCGAGGTGGGCGGGACCATGTTGGATATCGGAGGATCGGCGGCGGATGCGGCCATAGCCACCATGTTGTGCGAGGGCGTCATGCTGCCGCACAGCTTGGGCGTGGGCGGTGGCTTTGTGGCCACCATTTACTCCAAGGAGCTGGATCACAAGGAGACGCTGATTGCCCGCGAAACTGCGCCGGCGGCGGCCACGCAGGACATGTTCGTGGGCAAGGAGATCACGGGAGCTCTCTCGTGCGCCGTTCCCAGCGAGATCTATGGCTACTCCAAGCTGCACACAAAGTACGGCAGACTGCCGTGGAAGACGCTCTTCCAGCCGACCATCGATCTCTGCCGTCACGGCATCCTGGTCTCCAGATATCTGGCGGGGGTCCTGCAGCGCGAGGAGGAGCGCATCCGCAGCGAACCGTCCATGGCCGAGATCTTTGTTAACCCGAAAACCGATGAGGTCTACAAGGAGGGTGAGGTCATGTACCGTCACACACTGGCTGAAACGCTGGAGATCATCGCCAATGAGGGCGCCCAGGTCATCTATGGCGGGGGCAGGGTGGGCAGGAAACTGGTCGAGGACATCCAGGAGATGGGCGGCATCATTACCGAGGAGGATCTGCAGAAATACGAGTGAGTATAGAGCAATTTACACAGTTTACGAAGGGTGGTGACCCCGAATTTTCCAAAAATGTATCAATTAAAATTAGTAATTAGTCAATTACTCTAGAAATTCATTTACATTTTTCATGGTCTTTTGAAAATGCTATTATTAAACCCTTATTTTTAAGTTTAGAACAAAAGTGGTGACCCCAACCACTCCGAAAATCGATTATAATCAAGAAAATAATATACATTGTTCGTAGTCTTTCGAAATTATATTTATACGCATGAACAAACACCCATTTTTGAGTTTAGAAAAAAAGTGGTGACCCCAATCAATACAAAAACTTGACAATTTAATATGATAAATCTATAATCGATCAAGAAAATAATATACATTGTTCGTAGTCTTTGGAAATTACTTTTTTAAGTATGTATAAAGACTCATTTATGAGTATTAAAAAAAGTGGTGACCCCAACCACTCCAAAAACTTGAGCATTTCATATGATAAATCGATTATAATTAAGATAATAATTTACTTTGTTCGTAGTCTTCCGAAATTACTTTTACACGCATGAATAAACACCAATTTTTGAGTTTAGAAAAAAAGTGGTGACCCCAATCGTTATTATAAATCAATTATTATCGAAAATCGTACGTATTATTTCCCCAAAAAATACCTACTAGTCATTTAAAGCTTAGCTCAGAGATTGGTGACCCAAACGCAACCTAAAAATCAGTTTAAAAACCGACTTCTAAACCCAATCTTTGCAGTGTTCGCTGGGAAATGCCGCTGCACGCTCGCTTTGGGAACTACGATCTGATCACCTCGCCACTGCCCACCAGTGGAGCCGTGCTGACCTTCATCCTGAACGTGATGGAGCCGCTGTACACGACGAATACGGACAGGTACTGGCAGCGATTGATCGAGACCTTCAAGCACGCCTACGGGCATCGCACCAATTTGGGCGACGTCCACTACGAGCCGGATGTGCAGGAGATCTACGAGAATCTGGTGGATCCCAGCTTTGCCGCGGAGATCCGTAAGCTGATCCTGGACGACAGGACCTTCGAGGATATGGGGTATTATGGGGCGAATTTCGCCAACGAAGAGGATCACGGGACGGCGCACATTTCCGTTTTGGCCCCGAATGGCGATGCCATTTCGGTGACGAGCACTATTAATAGTCATTTGGGTGCCAAGGTGAGATCCCGCCAGACGGGTTTCATTCTAAACGACGAGATGGATGACTTTAGCACCCCGGGAAAGATCAATGCCTACGGGATACCCGCCAGTCCGGCGAATTTCATTAAGCCCGGAAAGCGTCCCATGTCCTCCACATGTCCCAGCATCGTTTTGGATTCGCATGGCAATGTTAAGTTGATTGTGGGAGGAGCCGGTGGCTCAAAGATCACCACCTCGGTGGCCCAGACCATTCTGCGTTACTTTGTGTTGAATGAACCGATTGAGAAGGCTGTGAATGCCGGTCGTCTGCATCATCAACTGGCGCCCATGCACATCGACATGGAACCGGATGTGCCCAGGCATACGGTGGCCTATTTGCGGGCCATCGGGCATGATATTAAGTTCCTCGAAGATGACAAGGCCTATTCCGCCCAGACGGCCATCGGAATTTTGGGCGGCGAACCGCATCCCGTCTGCGATCGAAGGAGAAGGGGCAGCGCAGTGGTCGTGGAGCCAGATCGCTTGGATTAGGGAGCTCATCTCATCTGGAATCCTCTCTATAAATATTTTCTGTTCTGTACTCTAAGAATTCGTTTGTAATGCCCTTTTTGTTGTTAACCATTAAAATTGATTGTTTATAGGAATCTCGCTTTATATAGTACATGCTTTTCTTCGACAAGATCTGGGGGTAATGTAACAAATTTCATTTGCAAAGCCGATTTTATAAAATATATATAGGTTCTCTTTTGGGAGATCTCGTTTGTTACCAAAGTATACAAATGCATATATTTAAATGCACTTTATAACAGAAAAGGAAGCTAACGTCGGCAAGTTCAAGTTTATATACCGAAAATTCGAAGAAATCGTAAGTTAAATTTTTTACTTATTTTTCCATTACTTTTTCGATCGATTTCTTACTCTGAAATTATAAAAATAAGCTAATTAAGCAACCAAACGATGTCACATGACCCAGTTTCCGGTCTGTTCATTCCAAATTACAAATATCGGGGTGTTCAATTGAATCTATTAAGGTTTATTTTGGGCCTAACTAAATGTACATGTAAAATTGGATTGGCAAATGAAAAGAAATAAGAAAAAAAGAATACACCAAATATAGGGTAAAAACTGGTTTTGATTTTGAGAATGACACTTTTCAAGGCAACAAAGCGTTTTTTTTTCACAAAGGTTCAAAGCCCTGCGGTCGATTAATTCGACGCATTTCATTTGCATTCTTATGTGAAGCGAAGCAAAAGTGAAATATATATATTTATACCCTTTTCGTTGGTATATTTATAATATTACGACATCGGCTAGCCGAAGTTAGCTTCATTTTCTGTAAGTTTCCGTTTTTAGATAGCAAAAATAGATGATTATAGATGGTCTATATATAGGCGCACATACCGCGTGTGTGTTTTTGTGTATGCTTATGGTAAACTAGGGCACATAACTAACTAAACAATATCTCCAGATATATATATATATATGTAGGTAAATAAACTCAACAGGCACAGCTCCTGGATTCAGCATCGGATATTTGAGATTTGCAGGACAGCGAACTAATCATCGTCGTCGTCGTCGATGCGCTTGCATCGCTTTTTGGCCATTTTTTGCTTCTTGTGCGCCGCCTCCATGCGCATATCCTCCAGATCCTCCTGCATTCCCAGCTTCTTGCTGATGAACTCCTCGCGCTGCATTTGCGCAAAGCTGGACTCCATTCCCCGGTCATCGTCGTCCAGTCCGCGATATCGCCGCTTATCATAGCCGAAAATGTCGCGAATGTGCGACGATATATCCTCTTCGCAGTCGCCATCATCGATGAAGTCGTCCAGCTCCGAATCGTACTCGTCCTCATCCTCGTCGTCGTAAATGCGTCCTAAAAAATGGGAAATATATTAATTAAAATCTAAGATTTATGCTGATTCTACTTACTTTTATTGCCCGGCTGCTCTTGTGGTTTCCGTCTCTTGACATCCGCTGGCGGGAATTGCCTGCCGCCCGAGGATCTCTGGACATCCGCTGGTGGAAACTGCCTGCCGCTTGAGGATCTCTGCACATCTGCTGGCGGAAATGGTCGCGTTTTGCCCGCCGGAGCAGCTGGACGAGCAGCAGGAGCAGCAGCAGGTCGATCCCTGGGTGGAAACTCCCGCACAGCTCCGTTTTTAATGGCCGCCGCATAGGGATTTTTGGAGGGAGTTGGAGCGGTCGCTTTACTAGAACTGCTGGAGCTGCTTTTACCCGCCGCCGCTGCGGATGCAGTTACTCCTGGCTTAGCGGAGGGAGCTGTTTTACTAGCGGCGACGGCGGGTTTTGTACTTGAGGCGGGACTGCGGTTGCTAGAGGAATGGGAATTGTAACTAGAGGAGCTAGAGGAGCTGGAGCTGCCCTTCGCTGGCGCTGCTGAGGGTTTTTTGAAGCCATCACTGGGGGGATTCGTCGCCGGCTTCCCTTGATTCAGCTTGGGTATGCGTCCGTTGGGCTCCATGCGATTGGTTGCGGCTTTGGCTGGCTCCGCTTCCCGCATCTTGTCGCGCAGGGCGCGCTGCTCCTTCAGCCGCTGTCGCTCCTCCATTTCGCGCTTCTCCCTGGCGGACAGCAGGCGCTCCGTTTCCTTCTTCTTTTCGGGTTCAAAAACGACCGGTTCATGTTGCTTCTTCTCGGCCAGGCGAAGCAGGGCCTGGAAATCCATGGGCGGCGGCTGAGCTGGTCGCTTCACCTTGGCCCTGCGCTGCTCCTCCTCCAGCCGCTTCTTGCGCTCCTCCTCCCGCCGCTCGGCCTCCGGATCGTACAGAGTACGCGAGGTGCTATACGAGCGGGCCACGCTGGGATCCTTGGATTTGGAGGAGGAGCTGCTGGAAGAGGGAGTGCTATTGCTGCTCCTCTGACGCGTGTGACTCCTGGCCTCCTCCCTTTCCCTGGTGATGGCCGCCTTGACGCGCTCCTTGGTCCCCGAGAGATCTCGCAGGGATTGCGGTCGGCTGGGCGCAAAGCCCTTGTCCTCCTGCACATCGCGCACCTTCTCGATGTACTTTTCGTAGAAGGCATTCGCCTCGTTGGACACATAGCCATAGTCATCGCCCTGCCCTTCGCCCGCCTCGTGGGCAGCGTCTCCTCCATCGCCGCCCCCATCCTTGGCATCCTCCAGCACCGACTTATTCGCCGACTTGGTCACCTTGAGCATTTTCCTTATCTTATTTTTGGACTTTTCGTCCCTTTTGGCCATCAGCTCGTTGAGCTTCTGGCGCTCCTCGCGCTTTCGCTCCGCCTCCTCGGCCTCCTTCTTGCGCAGGAACTTCTGGATGTTGTTGGACAGCTGCTTGGACTCCTTGGACTCCTTCTTGGGCGGCGCATACTTGGTGCTGTAGTATTTGCCCTGCCCGGTGGCCTGAAAAGGGTAAAAACATGGTTTAAAGATGATGGGTTTCCATCTGGTTTTTTGGGGTCATCTATTCAGGAGGTTCCTCTGCTGCTTCCTGGGCGCCCGGGGGGGTTGTGCCCCTCTTGGACAGCTGGCTACCCACCTCGTCCTTGGTGGCCGCATCGTTTTTCTTCTTCGCGTAGTGCAGCAGCGCCCCGAAATCCATTTCGTCGTATCCGTGTCACAAAATTATTTCCCTTTTATTTTGGCTACAGTGTTACCAGATGGTGAAACGGTTTTAAAGCCAATCGATGGCTGGAGTGTCGAATCGATAGTTAGCCCATCGATAGGCGGCCAGGCAGTAGAGTATCAATCGATAACCAGCTGAGGTGGTTGAAAAGAGTATCCGAGTATTTTTAAAAAGCCTTAAATATCTGAATAAACTGCCTGCCGAACGGCCCACGGACCAGCCATGTCCACTGATCCCGACCCGATGGCCAGCGAGTGCAGCAAGTCCGCTAATCCCAGCGCCCAGAGTACCGATAACACCAAGGAATCCTCCTCCGCCGAAGATCTCCTCCAAGTGGAGGCAAACCAGGAGGAATTAGATGCTCCTCCGCCCAAAGACTCCACGGCGGACATGGACATAGACAACGATCTGACCACCAACGAGCGCATGCCCACGGTGGACGAGCTGGAGCAGCCGAAGGAGACCAAGGCGAAGCCATTGGAGGTCAAGGAGGAGGAGGAGGTGGATAACCTGGAGCAAAAGCCACTGGAACCCCCGCCCAGTCCACCCGCAGCCATTAAAATCGAAGACGAGGAGGACAACAAGCCACTGAAGCCAGCGCAGCAATCCTCCCAAGAGGAAATCCCGCCCAGCTCCCCGGAGGCGGCGGCGGCACCAGCACCGCTGAATCCCAGCCCCCGGCCAGCTGGCAAGATCACGCGCAGCAGCCTAAATGGCACCGGCAACCCACGGGCCACGCCCACCATCATGAAGCGGCTGCGGAAGAGCACGCGCTTCAAGGCCAAGCAGACGGGCAAGGGAATCTCCGGCAACAGAGAGTCCAATGGGCACAACAATGGTCCCAATGGCAGCAGTTCCATTCACCTAGCAGGAGCCGGTGCCCATCCCAGTAACACCAATAAGCACGGCAAATCAGGAACAGCGGGTTCGGGAGCAGGAGGAGCCGCAGGAGCGAGGAATCGCCGCTCGCTGTTCAAGCGGCCGGCACAGAAAACCCCAAAGGTGCAGGCCTGCACGCGGTTCGTAAAGAGCGTCTTCTACAAAGGCAGCTACATGCAGATCGGGGATATCGTGAGCATCGTGGACGGGGAACAGAATCTGTACTATGCCCAAATACGCGGACTGCTCGTGGACGCCTACTGCGAGAAGTCGGCCTTTCTCACCTGGCTGATTCCCACCCAGGATAGCCCCGATCCCCAGGAGGGCTTTGATCCGGCCACCTACCTGATTGGTAATCATATTATATTAAATTATTCGATATAGCCATGTCTGTCTGTCCGTTGAGATCTCGGAAACTACAAAAGCCAGAAGGTTGAGGATTTCCACACATATTCTTGGCCTTCCTACGCAGCGCAAGTTTATTTCAGCCGAGCGCCACGCCCATTCTAACGCCCACAATCGCCCACTAACGACTTTAAAGATTTCCGAGAAGTATAAATGCTATTTTGTTGTGTATATTTATACCTATTCAAAAGTAGAAGACATTTTTCTAGTCGGACCATTTATTAAAAAGTTATACGCAATCAAAAAATTTTATATATCCATCTCCCTCGCACTCCCTTTAGCCGAGTGACGGGTATTAGATAGTCGGGACACAAACCCGACTATAGCGTTCTCTTTTGTTATATTTATACTTATAATCCCCTGTTTTTAGGACCCGATGAGGAGCTATCGCGAAAGCTGTGCTATCTGGAGTTCGTGATGCATGCGCCCAGCAATTACTACTTCGATCGCAGCACCCCATTCCCGCTGCCCGATGTGGATGAGTATACCGCCCAGAGATCGGGCGGTTATATATGGACGCGACTGCCGGTGGTGAAAAGGGAGAAGGGCGGCGGACACAAGGCGGGCGGAGGAGGAGGCGGAGGAGCCTCCTAGCAGGAGAGACGGCCCAAGGGCAAAATTAAGAAGATAAAGGCCAGAACTCTGGCTCTGAATTTGAATAATCTTATTTATTGAGTGGAAAATATAGAAAAGCGTCCAGAGGAACTCAATGTTTTACTTTTAAATTTGTATTGTATAGAGCCAGATTTTAAAGATTACTTCACAATACTCGAGAATCATCCAGATTTGATGAATATATTCTATAAGGAATCCTAATACTTTATTAAACAAGCTAATATTAGTACTCTAAGCTATTTTACTCCTATTAAATGGGACACTATGTATTCTAATTCGAAAATTACTTAGGATACTGTAGATTAAGAAAATATATTGGAATTTTTTAGATATAAATGTACAAATAAAATATAACTTTTTGAAATCTATAAATTTAGAAGAATTTTCATCCTAATTATTTTAATTTATTATAATTAATATTACTAATAATTTTAAAAAATTAAAAACTTAAAAAATAAACGGGTATCGAATAGATATCAACTTGTATCCAAATATCGAATAGCTAACACTTGCAGCCGACGGTCACACCGGCAGGCACACCATTTTCGATAGACTGCTCCTATCGAAACGGAACTGGCAAAAAACGCGAAATAATTGCAATAAATTGCAAATTCTCAGGAAACCGGAACAAACAGGCAAAACCGCGACAATGGAGGTGGACGAGGAAGAGTTCGAGGTGCCGTCGAGCAGCAGCAAGGGCGAGAAGAAGCGCTTCGAGGTGAAGAAGGTAGGTTGTCGTTGAGTCGAGCAAAATGGCTGGGTCATTGGCATTGGAAATATATATTCTCTTCTCTTCTCTTTCCCCTAAAAAAAATAACATGTAATAATTAACAGTGGAACGCCGTGGCTTTGTGGGCCTGGGGTGAGTTAAAATAAAGCACTGGAATAATCAAGGAATAATCAATTAACCGATAACAATCCTTTCCAGACATCGTGGTCGACAATTGCGCCATTTGCCGCAACCACATCATGGATCTGTGCATCGAGTGCCAGGCGAACCAGGCGTCCGCCACCAGCGAGGAGTGCACCGTGGCCTGGGGCGTCTGCAACCACGCCTTCCACTTCCACTGCATCTCCCGCTGGCTGAAGACCCGCCAGGTCTGCCCGCTGGACAACCGCGAGTGGGACTTCCAGAAGTACGGCCACTAAATCGGCAGTCGGAAATTGGAAATTGGAATTCCAGGATAACCAGTTGGAGCAGCGCATCAACCTCACCCACACACATCCATAAACTCCCCCCAACTCAAAAGCCTGCTTCATCGGAACACTTAAATCATATAATACCTTCTTAGATCTTAAGCGAATGGGCCAAGTCGCGAGAATTGGCAACGATCTTCGGGACGCGCAGAGTTCCAGTTGCCAATTCCAACGATTACCAGCCAACAAACAGACCTTTTTGTAACGCAAGAAATAAAAGCTGTAGAAGATGGAGAAGACTACCCGCGTATAACTTTCGCTTGAAATGAGGAATACCCATGAATCATAGGGTTCTTAAAATCATTCACTGAAGAACTGGCTTAAAACAAGAAATATTTTATATTTCTCTTATATTTTTTCTGGCTAATTTAAAATATTCCCAATATCCATTTTTATAAAATAGTTAAATAGTTGACCTTCAGGATGGAGAGATATATTTGCCAATTCCCTCGATTACCACCCAAAAAACAGACCTATTTGCATACCTTTCGGTTCTGAAAAAGGTACATGTAGAATTTGAAGAGATAATCGCATATTCTCGTATATTTCAACTTTATACTGGCTAATTGAGAATATTTTTACCTTGTAAAACCTTTTATCCTAATATATATTTTATAAAATGGTTAGATAGTTGAGGTTCCTTTTAAAAAACCTAAAAAATTGTAATAGAAAAACTTTAGAAACAGATAAAATAGCTTGAAATGAGGAATATCCATGAATTCTAGGAATCAAATAATAGCAAATTCTCTTATATTTCAACTTTATACTAATTGAGAATATTATTACCTGGTAAAACCATATATCCTGATATCGGTTTTATAGGATAGTTAGATTTTCGCTTCCTTTCAAAAATTCTCAAGAATTCCAATAGAAAAACTTCAACACCAAACCCAACCATCAAAAAAACTATGCTGTGTGCAAGACCACAAAAATCACATCAATATTTTCACATAAAAATAAAAATATAAAAAGCTTTGTTTGTGATTCGCCGGAAGTCCTTTGTTCAACACATGTATCATGGAATGGGGAAAAAATCGACGTGAGTGATGAGGAAATCAACTGTTGATTTGGAAGAAGAAAAAACCATGCATTTGTAAAAACTAAATGTTCTTTTTTAGTTTATTATGAATGTTTTGCGGCCGTGGCTGCCGAAATTGTTGTTGGTGGCTTACAAAATAATACACAGTAGTTACACATATGAATAAAGTATATATAATATATATTGAATATGATTAATGTATAATTATATATGCTAGCAACTAAACTTATAGGTAAACAAAAAATAATCATATCGTAAAAAATCATATATTTATATTTATTACTATAGGTAATAAAAAATATAATCAAATCGGTGTTTGTGTGTGTGTGTGTGGGCCAAGTACATTTCGTGTGAGTGTGTGTGAGGTTGATTTAGCTTTAAGTTTTCCAAAACTAAACTTCAACGAAATTTTGGATGAAATGTTTTTGGGGATGATAACAGAATGATGCGAGCTGATTGGATTGGGTTGGATCGAAAACCATATAATATATGTATTGTAAAGCAGAGTACTTGGATCAATCACCATTTTTGTTTTCAAATTGTTTTTAGCAGTTTTATTTGTATGTTCGGTTTAATCATTTTTCGCTTTCGCTGGCTTTATAATTTAATTCTCCGCTTTGTTTTTGTTTATATACATTGTATTCTGTTAGGTGAAAATTTATGATTTGCTAAGTTTCGCTTTATCCCCTTTTCTTCTACTATTTTCGATTTGTTATTAATATTAAATTTGTTGTATATATATATATACTATATATATATATTTAATTACTTAATTGAGTTGTTTATATATTGCTGTTCTTGTTGTTGCTGCTGCTGCTGCACTATTGTTTTGTTGTTGGCTTTTGTGGGATTTTTCTAAAGTATCCTTTATATATTTATTTTTGTAAATATAAGGTTGTTTTTTTTTCTTTATATAAGGCGTCTAAAACCGCTGCTAATTGCGTTGTTGTGTCTGTGTGCATTGTTAAATCCTTCCACATTTCATTTTGTTTATTGTTTTGAATAATGAATGGCTGGTTTGGGGGACTCCTGGGCTCACTGATCATCCTGATCCTGATCCTGCTGGCTGTTATTTCTCAACTGTACATGATTTGTATGCGATTTAACTCTATTCTTAGCTTTTTAACTATCAAATTGCTGCTGCTGCTGCTGGTGTTGCTGTTGCCGCTGAAGATGTTGCTGCTGCCGCTGCTGCTGTTCGTTTTGCTGGTGGCGTTGCTGCTGCTGCTGCTGTTCCTCCTCTGGCTGCCGTCGCACTTTTCCGACCTTTTCCTACTCCTAAGCCTTAAATTTCCACCTGCAAAAAGAAAAGCACACCAAACAACACACAACACACACGCACAACATGCAACGCGAACACAAAATAAAAATGTAGAGAAAAACGGGGGGAGCAATCACAAAGAGAAAAAAGAGAGAAATAGAAAAAGAAAGCGAAAAAAAAATCAATTTATAATCAGGTATATATATATATATCCGGATTCGATTTGTCAGCCTGTTTTCTAGTTAGCTTCCTGAATATATATATGGGTATATAGGAAAAAGGATCTACTTGGACTAAGATCTTAAACTAGGGTTCTTCTATGGGAAGTGTGTGTGTTGTTTCACAGGATCATCAGCAGCAGCAGCAGAGGCAACGACGCCAGCAGCGCAGCGATCCTTCCATATTCTCCTGGTTTCTCCTCCTGGTTTCTCATCCTCTTCTCTTGGCAATGGCAGCTGTGCTTAGTCAATTTGCTTGGAGATCAGTCGTTGGTTATTTCTGGCCATGATGGTTGTTATGATGATGATTCGGCGCATTCGAAGTGGCTGTGGATGTGGTTACCACTCCCTTTTGCTGGCTAATCCCCGGCGGCTGGTTCTGCAAACTAGCAAAACTTGTGGGCGCCAGGAGAGCGCAGGTGCCGAAAGTGTGCTTGGGCATGCTCATGAATCCAGCAGCTGCTCCTCCTCCTCCTCCTCCTCCACTGCTGCTGCTCACAATGGCCTGTCCTTGGCCAGGACTCGAGGTCCCGGAAAACTTGCCCAGCTGATAGTAGTGCATCGCATACGAATCCTCGCCTTGCTTGCCATTCGGAAAATAGCTATTGCTGTTCGTCGTCGATGTGCAGGCCGATTGAAAGGAGCTGCTGGTCGTGGATGAGGGTGATTGGGCTGCAATCGTAGTGGCACCCACTGTGGAGGAGGAGTCCACTGCCTCTCCTCCGGTTCCTCCTCCTCCTGATGAACTATTTGTACTGCTGGAGGAGGTATTCACCGTCAAACTGGTGCTGCTGGCATACGAGACATTGAAGGACTCATCACCACCTCCTCCGCTGCTGTTCAAGTCCTCTCCCTCTGCTGCTCCTCCTGCTGCTGGTGGAATGTCTATGGTGTGGGATTCATTGCCAAAGATCAAGCGTAGTCGCTTCTTTTGCGGCGTGCCATATACACTACTGCTGCTCGGCGCCGGCGATCTGCGTTGGCTGCTCCTGCTACGGCTGCGCTGTTTCTTTCGCTGCTTCTTGCTGGGCAGCAGCTGTTGCTCTTCTTTTAGAGGCGGCGGTGGTGGCTCCTCCTCCTCTGGCTCTTCATCTTCTTCCTGCTCCTCCTGCTCATCGTCTTCCTCCTCATCCTCCTCATCATCGTTGCCATGCTCGGAAATGCCCTCCATGCGCAGAATCTCGTACTCAATGCCATTCGAACTGCTGTTGGTGAGATTTAGCGCAGCTCCCTCTCCTGCTGCTCCAGCTCCTCCGCCTCCTAATCCTCCTCCGCGATGAGAGGAAGAGGCATTGCGGCCGCCGTTGCTTAGACTCGTGCCGAGCTCAATAACTTCGTCGAGGATGGGTGAACGTTTCATGCGCAGCGTTAGCTTTAATCGGCGCTCTGGTGTCTTTAGCAGGGGTTCCACATTACTGATGGTTGAGGTGGCTGTAGCTTCTCCTGCCGCCGCCTGCGTTGCCCTCTTGCGCTGCCCGCCGCCCCCGGAACCCGTTGAGAATCCGCCGAGAGCCTCGCAATGGATGCTCTGCGCCGCTGCCAAGGCGGCTGCCCTGCGACTTCGCTTCTGTTTGACCACCGGCGGTGTGGGTCCTTCGTTTTCTGCTTTCTTTTGCTGATCCAAATCGGGATCGAAGCTGGCCAAAAGGTTCTTCTTGTAGGCGGGACTCTGGCTGCGACGCGTTGCCTGCTGCTGTTGCTGATTTTGCTGATTTTCTGTGGATGTGGATGTGGATGAGGGTGTGGACGAGGCCTCACTTGGTGCTGGCTTCTTCGATTTAACACTAAGTCTACCGCTAAGATTAGAATTATGATTAATTCTACTGCTATTATTACAATTATGATTATTACAATTTGTAATCGTTGTGGTTGCTTTGCTGCTGCTGCTGCTGTTTGTTGTTGTTGTGGTTGCAATGTTATTGTTATGGGCAGTGGCTAATCTGGCTACCAATGCTCCTCCTCCTCCTCTTCCCGCACTATTTCGCGTCACACGCTTCTCCTGCTGCTGCTCCTGCTTCTCCACCGGATGTGCCTGCTCCTCCTCCGCCAACTGATGCTGATTCTGCTCCCTCTTCTGCTGCTGATCGCTGCTGGTGTCGCTGCTCTCGCCATCCGTGAGCTTCTCCTTCTGGCGTTCACTGCGTCTCAGCTGGCGCTGCTGTCGCTGTTGCATGGCGGCAATGGCCATCTGGGCGGGCTTGCAACGTGGCACCAGGACAACAGGCGCCTTGGTGGGCAGCGGAATACTAGTGGCCACCACCACGGGCACCGCCTCATCCGTGGAGGCTGTGGAGATGCTGCTGCTGGTGCTATTCACACGCATCGATTTGCGCAGACTGCTGGAGCGATTGCCATTAACCTCGGAGCCCGCTCCGCCGGCCACTGCTGTTCCTCCTCCTGTTCCTGCTACTGATCCTCCTGCTCCTCCTGGCTTTTGCATGGCTGCCAATTGCTGAACAGCCGCTGTGGCCTCGGCTCCTGTACTCGCATGCTGGCCATGATTGTGGTGATGGTGATGATGATGATGGTGGTGATGGAAATGATGCTGATGATGGTGCTGCTGCTGGTAGGCTGCATTGGCCATTATCATCTCGGCATCGTACTTGGTCATGCCCTTTTGGCGCAGCTCCTTCATGGTCAGCGGGGAGACGACAACATTCGGTAGTTTCTTTTCGAGCAGCGAAACGGGTGCAGTTACAGTGAGCTCCTTGCTTCCGCCAGCTGATGGCTGTGATGGCACTGCAGGCACAGAAGCTCCTCCTGCAGCTGCTCCTCCTCCAGAAACCACCGCCAATCCATTTGTGCTGCTACTCTCGCTGGTGCCAGTGGAATCGTTTGTATTGCTATTACTGTTCGACGTGCTGTTCGTCGAATTGGCCCGGCTCTTGATGCGATTTATCCGATTGTCCGTCTCGCGCAGCCGATAGCCACCGGCATTGTTGCCCGGTCCATTGGTGGTTAGGCCTAATCCCATGCTAAGACCCAACATTAGACCATCATCCTTTCCCGCAAAGGCGCCTGTGCCGCGGCGTTCGCATGTCTCGCACTCGCAATAGCGATTCGAGTCGCCGAAAAAGTCCTCGCCATAGAAACAGGTTATCTCCTCGCCCACCTCGATGTCGCGCAAGACTTTCACGCATGCCGTATCCCTGCCGGTGGCCAGAAACTTGCAGTTGGCGCGACAATCGTGATTAATGTAGGCAGCCGGTCCCAGCCACAATTGGGCGCAATTTTTGCGGCAACTATACATCACGGAAAAGTCATTCTTGCCCGAATGCAAAAGGGCCGCCTCCTCGGCCTCCGTCAGCTCAGCTATGCAGCCCACCAGGCACTCGATCTTGTCGTTCTTCGACCAGCGCTTCGTCGAGCTTATCTTGGCGCCGCGCTGCTCCTCGAGCGAATATCTGTAGCAGGCCTCGATCGCAAAGCCACTGTCCTTGTCGAAAACGCGCAGGTAGCGGACAATCTGCAGGGGGATTAAGGGAGAACTTTATTAATAAGATATATGTATGCCCTTAGAATTAACAAATTAACAAGAAAGGAAGTTTATATACCCTTGCAGATAATTTTTACTAATTTACAAATCACAAAAATGTTAAAATTCCTAGTATTTGTGATTAATTTAACGATCTTTCCTTTGGCAGCTATATGATTTCGATTTTATTAAAACTAAAAACAAAATTCGGAAAGAGTTATATTCCAAAGTAGAAGAAAATACAATAAAAACCAACTAGCTATAATTTATTTCCTATTATTTTCCCATTAATTTTCCGATCTTTCCTATGGCATAAAATTTAATTCTAAATTCAGAATTAGATAAATAATGTTATTTCCAAAAGTAGTAGGTTATATGTTTAAAAACACCCAAGATATAATTTTTTTTAATTTTTTCCCCGATTATTCCTATGGGAGCTATATGATATAGTTGTCCGATTCGCCTCGTTCAGACTTATATACTACCTTCAAAAGAAAGAAGCCTTTTCGGAAAGTTTTAGCCTCATAGCTTTAAAACTGAGAGACTAGTTTGCATAAAAACGGACGGACAAACAAACGGACAAACGGACATGGCTAGATCGACTCGTCTAGTGAAGCTGATCAAGAATATTTATACTTTTTGGGATGTAATACCCTCATAATACTCTGTGCAAGGTTATAATAATAACTATCAACTAAATTATGAAGTATTAAATTATTAAAGTATTAACTTCCGCACTTACATGATCATGCAGCCGCTTGGTGGCTATCTTGTTCTTGTTCTTGAGATGACGCGGTATCCAGGGACCATCGTAGATCCGCTGAATGGCCACATCGTAGTTTTGCGTGTGAATAAAGTCATCCACAATGGCCTTCAGCTGCTGCGTGTCCACCTTCAAGGGGCGAAAGCGTATGTTCATCTTGTGGGTCTGGAAACCCAAATGCGGATCGAGGATCAGCGATGTGGCCAGGTCATCGTTCTCGGAGAGTTCACGCGGCGACATCCCAGTGGATTGCGAGAGGCGGCTGACGGCGCTGCCGTTGCAGCCATTGAGTCCACTGACCACCGATCCTGATGAGGCTCCTCCTCCTCCTCCACTGCCATTCGACTGATGGTGGTGGCTGCTGGGATGCTGATTCGCCTGCTGATAGTGGGGGGTATGAGGATCATGGTGGTGCTGATTCGCCTGGTGGTGCGCAGATGGCGGGGCGGATGGCGGTGGGCCATGACCCTTGTGGGACATGGACGACAACAGAGCCGCAGCCGCAGTCGCCGTCGACGTGGAATTGGAATTGGTGGCTAGTGAAGACGTTGCGCTGGTGGTGCTGCTGGCCGAAGCGGTGGAACCACCGCCGTTTGAGCCACTGGAGCTGCTGCTGTTTGTAAATCTGCTGCCAGTTTCACCGCGCCGCGTGTGATTCGAGCCGACGACCATTCTGCAGGACAGTCTGTAAGAAAAAAAAAAATTTTATTACAAAAATTTGTTAAAAAAATTTTTTTTTCATATATATTTTAAGAATGATTTAAGAAAGTCGAAAGCCAAAATTACGTTAAAAATTATTTGTCAATTTAATTTTTATGTTCTATTGGTCACATGCTATTTCAAGTATAGAAAAACATTCAAAATCTTAAAATTCGGAAACCGGCAAATATCAGCTGTTTTTGAATTCAAATCGCTAAGAACCGCAAACTGTTTTTCGCTTATCTGGCAACGCCGCTGTTCTTGGGTTACATGGCTGAGAGCGAGATGGCAATACGATTTCCAGGACTAGGACAAGTGCAAAAGTATTCGCACAGACACAATCCTTCCCTTTCTATCTCTCTCTCTCTCGCGACAAAGGATAGTTTTGCAAATGTTTAATCAGCACAAAACAGCTGTTTTTGCACAATAAAATTTGTGCTATATTTTTCACTTATCTCGTTCTGCTCAAATTTATGGGCATAATTTTATTTTTACTCATACGGCTTCGCGAGAGGGAGAGAGAAGGGGAGTGTAACTGAGGTCGTCGACAGACATCCCTCCCGCTCGCACTCGTTCCAGGCTCTTCAAGCACACGCACACACACGTGCGAAAAAAAAATCAATTAACTTGACAAGCACATGTAAAAAAAAGTATTGATCCACAAAAAAAAACAAAGACAATATGGTAATCCTGGAATATGCAGGCACACACACACACACACTTACTGCAAAAAAAAGTATTGAACGTGTGTGTTGATGTACGAAAAGCAAACAAAAATTGATTATCGATTTGCATGCGCAGCAAAGCGTACTTTTTAATTTAGCATTTTCTTGAAGCTGCGCGGTAGGCGAAACGGCAAACTGCTTTTCTTGCTGGACCATTAAATAAACTAACATAAACACAAGTGGGTGGTGCTGGGAAACATGGCTGGAAATGGGAAATGAATATTTGTTGCTGGCCGAATTGTTCTGAATGGAAATGACTTTTTTTTTGCTTGCAAATTGCTCTCTCAGCTGTTTACAAACGCATACACACACGCACAGGCACACACGCACGCAGGTGAGAGCGAGAGAGCAGCATATGCGCAGTGAGAATGGCAGAAAAAGGGTTGCCAAGCGCAAGAAAGGCTTGCAAATTAAATTAATTAATTAGAAGGGGCGGAAATAAGGGAAAAAATTATGGTTAACTGCGGTTCACCGGGCGGTTGGCTTGATCCAAATCCAAGTTTGCAAACTTCTTTGTTTATAAGAGCATTTTCAGCGATTTGCCAACCCTAGACGCTCGTTACATGGGAACGAAAAATGGCGGCGCCTGTTACACACACACACGCACAGTCCAACACACACACACACACACACTCTGGTGTGCTGTTTTTTTTTTGTTTTTGCACTTTTTTCTCGATATTCGATTTGTTGTAAACATTTACCTTAAAAGAATTATTCACTAAGGCGCTATTGCCTCTCGCTCGCACCCGCAAAACGATGCTTTGTCTGCTGCTGCTGCTGATGCCTCTGTGTGCGTGTGTGTGCGTGCGTCTTTTTCCACGGCTTTTCGTCGAGACACACACATACACAGAGCGATTGGAGTTGGAATTGGTTATCGTTTTGGATGGCTTGGATTTGGCTTTGGCTGCGTATCCAAAATATATCGCCGCTGCTGTGCCAAATCATTTTAGCTCTTGACGCCTTTGTTCCCCAAAAACATCCAAACGCCGTCCATGGCTCTCGCTCTCTGGCTCTGCCTCTCTCTCTTTCGCTCTCTCTCGCTCGCGAGACGCTCCAAAAGTCGCGAGTCGGAAAGGGAATGGGAATCTAGCCCCCTCTCTTTCACGCCTAGAAGCTGCTGCTGCTGCAGCGCACACCAACACACGCACACCCAGACGGATACATATATTCCTGCGGACGAGCGAGGCGAGACGTGTGTACGTGCGTCTGTATGTATGCCTTTTTCTTCACTTCTCCGCTTGTTTTCTTTTCTGCACTTTGCCTCTGCTTCCGTTGCGATTTTGCGATTCTCTTGTAAAAGACCTCTGTGTCGGATCGGTTCTAATTCGGACTTAATTTACAAAATGCGGCTGCTTTTTTTTCCGCGATTTGGTCCCGATTCATTAGAGGTGGCACAACGTCGAGCGATCGATGTTTGGTTGCCTATCGATGGTAAGCCAGATTCCTGAAAATATACTATATACCGAAAAATACTGAAAATACCATAAATAACGTGCGGAGTGTGACACGGCTAAATTAGCAAAGGCACGCACCTATCGCGTGATTTCTGGGCCATCTCTAATAGGGTTGTGAAAATGAATAAAAAAACAACAGCCACTAAACAGAAACGCTTGTGACGAAAAGTGTAGTTTTGATATCACAAATGAAAGAATTTTGGTACTAAAATACTTTTTGCAACTTCATTTCAGATCAGTTTGACTTTTGAAATGTCAAAAATATATTTTAATAATTAGAGATATTCGATATATGAGGGGAAAAATACCACGATATAAAATATCGATATATTGCTAATTTGATATATTTTTCACATCACTAATCTCCAATCGTTGTTCCACCTCTAAGTGCTCTGCATATTTTTTTTCTTCCCGAAACGAATCTTCGATTGTGGCTTATTTTTCATCCCAAAAGGAGCTCCCGTGCAAGTAGTTGCAGTAATTCGAAGACAATACCTTAAGGTAAGTGGCACTTTAAGACGAAGCCCGCGAAAAGCGGGAAAAAGTGCTGTGGGGACAGCGAGGAAAACGCACACACACACACCAGCAGCCCGAACGTGCGTGTGTGTAAGTGCGCATTTCTGGAAAGTGTCGCTGTTTTTTTTTTCTTCATCATTTCGATTATATTTTTGTGCTCATCGTGTTTCAGTTTTGTGTTTTTTTGTTGCACCCAAAGCCCTTCAAAGATTCCTCTAGAAATATCAAGTTAGACTGGTAAATTCAAGTGATTGCCCAAGATTGCAAACAATTTATTTATCAGTATTTGGCGTGAATCACTTTTAATTGCTGGGAAATGCGATATAAAAACAAACCGTTTCCACTAAAAAACATTTCTCAGTTTGTACTCAAGTACAAATGTTGTACCAAAGTTTGTCATTCAGTTCTGTACCTAACCGTTTCGAGGAAGAGGGAACACAAAGAACGGTTTATTTACCCATTTCGAATCGGTGCTGTGAACTTGTACCTCATTTTTGTTTAGTGTACCTACATTTTTCCTGGAAAGGAAAACCGAAAAATGTCCATTATCCATTTTATAAACCCTTGTGAACCATTTCTGTACCTATTCTGTACCTTTATATTTTTTTTTAATAAACCGGTAAAAATTTCTGCTTAGTGCACCTATAAATCCTTGTAAACCATTTATGTACCTAATATTCGTTAAAAAAAACCGGTAAAAAAACGCAAAAAAATTGTTGTTTTAAATTTACCTAATTTTTGTTTAGTGTCCATACATCCATTTTATAAACCCCTGTAAACCATTTTTCTTCTCATGTATTTTGTACCTAATATTTGTTTTCAAAATAAACCGGTAAAAACCGCAAAAAAATTGTTTTAAATGTATAAACCAATTTTGTACCGTTTCTAGAAAAAGCGATAAAAAAATAAGCAATATGCCCAGCATCAAGTTGCAATCTTCGGACGAGGAGATCTTCGACACGGACATCCAGATCGCCAAGTGCTCGGGGACCATCAAGACCATGCTGGAGGATTGCGGCATGGAGGACGACGAGAATGCCATTGTGCCGCTGCCCAATGTGAACTCGACGATCCTCCGCAAAGTGCTCACCTGGGCCCACTACCACAAGGACGATCCCCAGCCGACGGAGGACGATGAGAGCAAGGAGAAGCGCACCGACGACATCATCTCCTGGGATGCCGACTTCCTCAAGGTCGATCAGGGCACCCTGTTCGAGCTCATCCTGGCGGCCAACTATCTGGACATCAAGGGACTGCTCGAGCTCACCTGCAAGACGGTGGCCAACATGATCAAGGGCAAGACTCCCGAGGAGATCCGCAAGACCTTCAACATCAAGAAGGACTTTACGCCCGCCGAGGAGGAGCAGGTGCGCAAGGAGAACGAGTGGTGCGAGGAGAAGTAGACCGCTCTCGACCAGGATCAAGTTATAAAGCAGGAGGAGGAGGAAGACAGCAGACGGATGCAGATGCGAAGCAGACATGGAGTCATGCCGATGCCGCATTGGAGCTTTATTTAGTTGCTACTCTCATTTCACATTTTTTTTTGTTCTCTACCCTGAAAGACCCTCATTTTGAATTTGAATAACTGAACGGGCTTGATGTGATTCACGGGGTTATTCGTTCTATGCGAAAATGCATAACTCTATGTAGCCTACATATATGAATAAGAACACTATGATTTCACCTTAATAAATATGTACTACCCAAACACACAAAACAACTGGCAATTTTGTGGGATTACCCGTTTTCTGTTTAGCTGCATATCAATTTCATTGACTTGGGGAAATCTCTCGAAATTCTCAGCTAGACTGTACTTTCTCGAAATTCAATAGCCTTATCAGAGAAATTGTTGTGCTCTGAGTCACTGGTCCTATTTATAAATTGATGTTTTCATAATCCCAAATAATTAATTTTTTTTTTGGTAATTCATAAATAATTATTAACAAGTTTTAAGCAACATAACTAAAATCATCATATGTAATAGTGCTGGAACAGCTGTCTATCCATCTTCAGGCCTTCGGGACGATATCCAATGCGCTTCTTGGTCTTGATCTGGTAATTCTTGCAGAAGGTGTGACGGCAATAGGTGACCACGGGAATTTTAGGCAGAAGGACGCAAATGCGGCACTTGTAGAGTTCTGGATCCCTAGTATGTGGGTTGTTCTCTCTTCCACTCATTTTGGGGTACGTTTATCCAAACTGATGTTCGATTCAAATCAAGCTAGAACTCTGAAATGGGGCTCAAGGGCAACTGGACATTACAAATGTGAACCTTTTTTAAAAGTCTACTTCAACAAATTTGTTTTAATTATTTGCAAGAAAATTAGAAACTATATAACTTTTTGTTTTTAATTAGAAAAAAATTATTTACAAACGTAAAATTTTATTTTAAAGTAAGGGGATCTAGTTAAAAAAAACAAATTCAAAATAATGAAAGCTGCGCGCCATGTTAAAGTTCGCATTTCACAAAACTTTAAAAGCTTTTGGATTCGCGGTTAGAACTTATAGTTCGAATAAAACCGTTAGCAAAATATTAAAAATTTAAATTCTATGGTTTTTTCTTTTCCTTGAATTTCCTAAGTTAAAAGCTAAAATTTATTTAACATTTGTTTCACTTTTTAATCACTTTTTATTAAAAAGCTTTTACTGGTTTAAATTTTATATTAACCGTTTTGACATTAAACGCGCCAAAATTTTGAATTTGTTTATGTTTTTAATTTATTTATATTTAATTTTATAGAAAATCTATACTTTTTTATCTAGAGTTTAAAAGCTTTGCAGAAACTAATTATAAAAGTTTAAAAAATGTATTTATTTTTAATAAGTCTATTGCTTTGATCTTCTATCCTAGGACATAGTACATTGAAAAACGGTTTGCTATCTTGGCAGGATGTCAGCTCCTGTTTTCGCTTCTGTCGCTTTGGCGTTGGCTTCCTTTGTAGTCGCGCGCTCATTTCGCTGGCCTGTTTATGCGTCTCGCTTGCCAATACTAAACAAAGTAGATAAAGGTCCTCCTCCGAGGACCTCCCCCTTTGTCCTTTCCCGCCCTCATCGATGAAAGGCGGAAAGAAGCTTTGAGAGCGGCAAATGTATTGAACAATCGCTTTGAGTGTGCACTTGGCTTAAATGTCCGTGCCAGACCTTGGAATTGATCGATGGCCAAAAACCAGAAATTGCGAGAGAAAAAAAAGAAGGGATAAACTTGGCAAGCGGAGATTCAAAGCGAAAGTTTGCCATTTTCACGGGGATTTTTTGTTAGCCTAACTGACATTGAACTTAAGCCGAACATTTTGGTATTGAAAAAGTAAACAAGTTGGGGAAAATCTGTTAAATTTTTAAGGCGCCTAAAGTCGCTGCATATTTGGATATGAAAAGAAGAGTTCAATAATAGCAACTTTTTATATTGAAATCGAAGAAATCGATTGGTGTCTTGTCTGCAGGTTTGATAAAAAAATCTTTTAAATATTAATATACCATTATCGTTTTTTATAATTAATAAATATCGACTTGTTCTTTGTAAAACGGAAAAAATCTATAAGTCATTAATTTTAATTAAATAAATACATTTCTTATCGGCTTAATTTGTATAATATATTTGATTTATAATAAAATCTAGGAAATTTCACAGGTTCTATTAAATCTAAAGCCACATAAATGCAATATTCTAAATGTTTTAAAAATGCTTAAAATGTATTACCCCGAAATGAAAGATTAATTGGCCACCATAAATTGTAATTTCTTGTGTTTATTGTCTATTTAGTATGCAAGTGCCAATTGAAATTAAATCGAAATCGTAATTTCAATTGGCCCTTTGTATTATGATTGCGCAGCGCGGCAAGTTATTAATATTGTTGGTTTATTATTATTATTTCTCTGTTTTTATTTGCAACGAGTAACAGAACGGGGGCTATTGTGTTTGACTTGGAAGCCCCCCGCCCCCCTTTTAGCCGCCTCAGACTCCAGGGGCGCTCGCCATTTCAATTATCATGCGGAAAAAGGGGGAGAAAGGGGAGACGAGCTCTTGAGTGAAAGAGCGAATGGAGAAAGAAGGCAGGGCAAATAAAAGCAAGGCAGAGCCAAGAAAAAATTGTGAAAATGGCCTGAGCAGGGGAGCGGAAAAGTAAAAAGGGTTTTCCACTCCCACTGCCAAGGAGTAATTAGTGTGCATTTCCTTCCCCTCCCCCCCTTTTCCGCACCCATACCCCCTTTTTCCGCGTGTGTTTGTGCAACATTTGCTTTTCCACTTCGTTTGCGACAATCAAATGTAACAAAGGAGCGGAAAAAAAGGTTCCAGAAAAAAAAAACAGTTCAGGAGGAGAGGGTGTGCAAGGAACAGGATGAAGACGGAAGATCAGGAGCAGAAATACACTGGGGAAAATTAGGGATATTATTTAAAGAAATTATATTTTTATTATTATAAATATTTTATTTTGAATTTTATAAAATTTCAAACTAATTAATGTGAAATTATAAGGTTTTTTTTTCACAGCATACTTTTAGACACCTTTATAAATGATTTCTAAACCATTATTTTGCATTATTATAGCCACATTTTAATCACAATCAAAGTATTAAAACACATAACTGGTACATGGATCTACCCAACAAAAATCAGAGGTAAAAGTGATGGAACCTCTGCCTTCCCTTGGGGACTTCGGAACGACATCCAGAGCGCTGCATCTTCTTGATCTGGTAATTCTTGCAATAGTCGTGACGGCAATAGGTGATCACGGGAATTTCAAGTAGAAGGTAAATGCGACACCGGAAGACCTCTGGTTGCCCGAGAATTGGCATATTCTCCTTTCCACTCATTTTGGGGTATGTAAGTATGTATTTTCAAAGATCGTTTAAAATCAAGGGTATAATTACGTAAGACAGGGGGTTCTAGGGTAACTGGATAGTAAACTAAATATAGGAGCTTGAAAATGATCGATATTTTCACCATTTTGATACGATAATATCGATGTTTTCGAGGGAAAACTCCCTTTAAATATCGAGAAATAGCAAAATATTGATATTCTTTCAAGCAATACTATTATTTGCAGTGCATTTGCTTGGAGGAGCACCTGCCATTTGCCTTCGCCACTCGGCACTCACCTGGCTGGGCCCTTTTATCGTCTAAGTCGTCGTCCTCCACTGGAACGTGACATTGAATACGTCTGCATCCTGGTGGCTCCTGCTCCCCCTCCCACTCCCCCTTCTCCTTTGCACCCCGATTTCTTCCACTTTTCAGTTCCTGGCCAATGCTAATCTCTCTGTAATTAAGACTGTCACTCATTCAGGCATTTGCTTGCCATTCAGTTTGCCCATCTTGGCAAGTTGGGAAGTTGGCAGCAAGTCCTACTCCTTTTTCGTCCTGGCATCAATGGCGTGGGCGGTTGGATGGGCGTGGCCCATTTGAATTGCCTTTAATTGCATGTTGTTGTTTCTCCCCCCCTTTTTCTTGTTGTTGTTGCTGTGCATCCTTTTGCATCCTTTATGGCGAGGATTTTCCGGGGGGCGGAGTGCAGGATATAAAAGGTTTGGATTTCAGGTTCATGATCAACTTGGGGATCACTGAGGGTGAAATTGGCTGGCCTAAATGTGATTTTTATTTACTTCCTCTCGACTTAGGAGTTGGCCTTAGAATATTGAAGGCCCACAACAAAGAGTACAATCGGTGGGCTTAACAATGGCGAAAAAGTCTAGTAATTAAACTGCAAATGAAGCTTAATACAAACCAAGGAATCCATTTAGAATAATAGCAAAATGTCTATCTTGAAAGAACTTAAAATATTATGAGAATATATCAATAGTTTCTGATTTCATATTTTTGTCCCGAATTTCCGGAAAAAAACAGTTTTTTGACCATAACAATGAAAATATTGATCCAAATATGGATTGTCATACCATTCTGAACTCCTTATTAAATTTCCAGTCGATTGACATTTAAACCAGGATATTTTATTTTTTGGCCATTTTTCGCAAAAAATCATGATGTACCCCCTTATAAAAAAATTTAAAATTGGCGAAAATTTTATTTTTTTATGATTACCCGGAAAGTGACATGGATTTACTTGTCACATTGTTACCTGTTCAAAACAGTATGTATTTTGTGTGTAGGACAATTTTTGGCCAAGTTACAGCAGAAAAACAAAAAGAAAAAATTCATATTAGTTTTAAATTTGTTAAACTTAGATATAAATCAACTTTTGTCTTCTAAATCTGAAAAATCTCTTATTTTGATTTTGAAATTTAGGAAATGACACATATTGCTTTACTAATTAGGGTCACCACCAATTTGAGGAGGTCACCAAATCGTTAAGTGTCATTTGGTAAATTTACGATAAACAGATTTTCGCTCCCCCGATCTTTTAAAGTTTTATTCGATTTTGTTTTGGAACAAGTGTTGTGTTTCTGCTATTAAGTTGCTTTATGATCCGCCACCATAAATTAGCGCTAGCATTGGATCAGCCGGAGACTTGGACTCCACACACCACACTCCATTCCGAACCGAACCACTCGACTCGACTCTATTAATATCCAAGTGGCGGGATTGCCCCACCCCCGGCAGAAACTCGAGATTTATGGGCTCCAATGGGAATGCGTGGGATGTTATCGTAGGACTTGGTCTATCGTCTAAATATCCACAAATAATCCACACATGCTTATGTTACTGGGGATATACATGCATATATATGTGCGGTACAAGGCGCTGTAAGTGTAAGTGTAAATTTC